GCCCCATCGTGATTTCAACTCGAACCAGGTGTCGTACACCGCAGTCACCGTGTGAAAATTCTCGAGTGACCTAGTTGAACCCCGGCCCACGGGTAGAATCTGCTCCTCCAGGGACCCCCGAAGACCGGGGTCCCGTTCTGTGCAGAGTCGGCCTCATCTGCGAGAACGGACTTCCCGACGCCGTTCTGAAGCAGCGGAGAGTTAGCGGGGCGGAGTGTCCGCCGATGTCCGTGCCCCACGGCATCAGCCGTCATCCACTTCATGTCACTGACGGTGCTGTGAACGCTCGCCGCGCTGCAGGACTGGTGTCCCAGTTCGACACTCGGCGTCTCCTCGAACCCTCGCTAATCCTGCCGAGTCGGTCCTCTCGTCTCCCCCACTAGATAGACAAGGGAACTGAGCCATGGGAGGGAGCCCCCTGGCTGCCCAGACAGGGGCCCTGCAGCTCGGGATTGAGCCCAGGCAGAGGTGGACTCCCAGGCCCAGCGCTTCGGTAGCCCACCCTCCTGCCCTCCTCTCTCGGCACAGCTGAGGACGACAGAGCCTCCTGTGCAGGTGGGGCTCAGGTCATGGGGACACCTGCCCGACACTCGCAAACAGGTGAATGAGATGCAGTGCCGGTGGGAGAGGCAGAAGTCCACAGAACGTTCCCATTGAATGTCTAAGTGGGATGTGCAGGCCAGCCCAAGGCAGTACCAACCTAATGGCAGCGATGGAGGAAATCCAGGAAGACTTCTTGGAGGAGGTGATGCCAGAGATGGTGGTGGCTGAAGTGTGAGTGGGGAAGGGAATTTTAGGCCAAAGGCCAGCTTGAGCCTTGTGGAGGGCTCCAGCCAGCAGAGTCCGCCTGTTGTGACTGAAGATGAGAATAAACGCACAGGCAACAGCAGTCCCGTGGAGAAAAGGGGGACGGCACGGCCACTCTCTCAAGAGGAGAGCGCCTCCACCCTTGCCTAGACAGGCTTTTATTGTTTTACTCATGTCTGACATCAAAGAAGGACTTACTATCTATTACACAGAATATTGTTGTCTACATTTTAGATTTAATCAAGGAAGCGAAAATAACATGCAAAGGGGAATGTCGGCGAGCTGATGAGCTCTGTCCTTGGGAGAATTCACACAGGCTTTGGGAATTACCTTCAAGATAGACGATACACATTTATTGTTTCAGACCAGGGTGATGGAGTTTTAGCAAGAGCAAGCCATACCAGTCTGCATGCATTTTCTAGGCCTGATTCCCACGGGAAAACTTGGTTGGAAGGTCTGGCTCCTGCCCGCCACCGTGCTTCTGCTGGTTTTCCATACGGAGCTGAGTCACATTTGCCGGACCAAAACAAGCCGGTCCCCTGCAGAGCCTGGGGCAGACACAGCCCGACTGGGGTCTGGGAGACACTCGGGATCCCGGGGCAGGGCAGGGAGTGGCTGGGGGGGGGGGGTGAGGGGAGAAGGGCAGGCAGGAGCCAGCCCCCAGGGGCCCTTAGAGACCCGGAGGGGCGTGGCTGTTCCATTAGCGTCCACGGACCGGAAGTTTCAGATGCCTGTGCAGTGTGCTCAGACAGGCCGTTTAAACGCATCCTTCCATTGAGCAGCCTGAGTCCAATAACGCAGGAGGGGATCGGGGGTGGGCGCTGCAGCTGGACGAACGGGAGGGAACGGTTTCGGGAACACTGGCGAGGTAAAATGAGCAAAATGTGCCCACTGATGGGTTACACGGCGGGCGAGGGAGAGAGGAGCCCGAAACGCTGGCCAGATAGGTGGCGGTGGAGGTTTCTGTCTGTGTCAGTCCGGGTCCCACCGGGAACACCCAAACCACCCCTGGCGGCCTTTCCGGCGGGGTTCGCGCCGGGGGTGGCCACATCCTGGGAAGTGACAAGGGGAACCTTCTGAGATGCTCTAAACTGCACCGCAGCAGCCAGAGAGTGAGAGAGAGAGGGGGGACTGCCAGTCCGTTCCTGGCTCAGGACCAGCTGACAGAGGCCAGGCCACACTCCTCCTCCGCCTGCTGGAACTTCAAAGTCACGTCCAGGCGCCGTCCCCGCGGGCTTCCTCAGCCGGGCGCGCTCGAGCTCCAGTGCCCTCTGCTCGCGCGCACACGGGGCTTTCCTGCCGGCTGCCCGCAGCCCGTCCGCGCACGGCGGACCTCTTCCTGCCGACTCTCAGTCCCCGAGCTGGCTCCACCCGCTCCTCCCGCCCGTTCGCCTGTCGCCAAATTCCTGCAGCCGGCTCAAGTCTTCCCTCCCCCTCCCCCTGCTTCAGGAGTACAAACGCCGGGTTTTCCCACCCGGCCGGGCGGGCGGCTGGCGGTTTGCACTCCAAGCCCCAACACCAGGCTTCTTTTTAGCTCGCATTTTTGGCTCAATAAAACCTTTCTGAAGACTTTCAGCTCTGGAAGTTCAGTTCAGTTTTTTGTTTTTTGTTTTTTTTTTCTTAACTGAAGAAACTCCCCAAGAAGCCACGCAGGGCACACAGGAAGCTGTCAGCACCTCTGGGGTGGTGTGGCGGAGGCGGCGGCTGCCCCCTGGAGGCCAGGAAGGGGACGACGTGGGGAGAGGCTCGGGCCAGGGTCAGAAACGCCATTCTCAGCCGAGGGGAGGGGACGGCCCTGCTTCTTTCTGCTTTCCTCTGCCGGCAGTCTCGGCAGCGTGCCCAGGCGCCCAGGCACCCTGGAAACTGGCTCACGAGGCAGCCTGGAAAGACCTGAAAAGGGAGAGGATTTGGCCTGAGCGCCAGCACCAGGGTCCGCGGGGGCGCGGGGCAGAAGCGGAGCGGTGGTGTGGGGAGGGCGGGGCGGCGCTGTTTCTGGGCGTGGTGAGTTTGACGTGCTCCGGAGACCTCCAGGGGGGTGTCCAGGAGGCACTTCCTGGACCCCTGTTTCCAAAGATAGGGACCGGAGACCCGCCTCTGCACGTTTGGGGCGTGCCAGCCCGCCGCCCTCGCTGTGGCGGTGATAGCATTGCACGTGCTGTCACAGTGAGTGCAGTTGTCCCTTAAAAGAAACCTGCACTCAGTGGATTGAGCGCGGGCTGCGAACCAAAGTGTCCCAGGTTCGATTCCCAGTCAGGGCACATACCTGGGTTGCAGGCCATGACGCCCAGCCAACCGCACATTGATGTTTCTCTCTCTCTCCCTTCCTTCCCTCTCTAAAAATAAATAAATAAAATATTTTTAAAAAAAGAAATCTGCAAATTAGCTTGCAAAATGGTTGCTTTATTTCACCTGCCCAGGGTCTTACAGAGGGTCTACAAGCTCCCCGTTCTCGCCAACATCCGGTCTTTTCGTTTTATCTGTTCTAGAGGGAGTGGAGCGGACCTCACGGTGGTTTTAACCAGCACTTTTCAAGTGACCTCTCGGCTTGAGTGCCTTAGGAAGGACTTTCACGTGAGCCCATGTGGACGAAGCTCCAGACGCTTCCACTCCGAAGCCTCTGTGAGGGGAGCTGAATGTGCGGCACATGGGAGGCAGAGCAGGGGCAGAGGGCGGCCGGCCACAGGCCCCTCCCGGCGTCTAGGAAACAACATTCTCGAGCAGCCTGCAGGCCTTTCGGGCTATTTCCTTGACACCTCCTAAGAACTTCCGGGTTACCTCTGAGAGCTGGAGGTCAAGGTGTGAACTTGGAGCCTAACACACACCTGGGTGTAAACCCTCAGATCACTGCCACCTGTTTGCTGGGATCTTGCACACTCAAGTTTTTGCATCTGTAGGATGGGAACCGCATCTTTTTGTAGGGTTGCCGGGAGGGTTAAGACTGACAGTGCTGGTACAGAGGCCGGCTGGGTATTTGGCACAGAGGAGCTCAGCAATGGAGGTAAATGCTGTTGGTTTCGTTACTGGAATTCACGAGATGCTGAAGATTATCTTTATTTCAGAGGAGGAAACTGAGACCCACAGTTAAAGTGTCCAAAAAGAAAATCCTAGTTAGGACAGAGTTAGAATAAAACTGAAGTTACCCCTTCCCGCCAGTTGCACCCTCCCCCCCGCCCCCGGAGCCCCCGCCCCGCACTTGACCCACAATTTTAATCATCCACACATTGTATCAGGCCCGGAACAGTGAAAACTGCCTTCGTTTGAATCATTCTTAGGGCGCAGGGAGGATTCACACTAAGGATTCTCAGATAGGGAAAAGGCTCTTAAGGTTTTGTGCCGGCTCATTCGCTTTTTCAAAAAACACCAAGACCCACGTGTCGCTACACGGTGCAGGATGTTCCAAGGACACCCGTTCTCTCTCCGTCCCCACCTGGAGGACTACCAGAGGGACCTGGAGACAGACACAGCAGATAGGGCGCTGTACTCAAGTTTCGCCTTTGGGGAAAAGCGTTTATTCCCACCCTTGGCTTCTCTGAGAATACCACCAGAGGTCAGGCTAGGAACTGCTCTCTCCACCTGTCCGAGGCCAAAGAAGCTGCTACAAGGAAAACGGATTTTTTTAAATGCAATATTCAATATTGCAAAAGCAGTGCGTATTTGCAAACACTCAACCAAAGACTTAAGCAATCATCACGGGATGACCTTTTGGAGGGAGGGGTGTCAGGGAATTGCGTAGGGCTCGCACCCCCCGCCTTTCCTCGGCAGGCTGCCCGCATCGCGCCGGCCTGTCTCGGCTACTGAAGGCCCTGGTGAGGCCCAGCCCTCCGTGTCACTGCCTGAACGCAGGTGAGACTGAGGCGCAGCCCGCGCGCAGCTCCAGGTGTGCCAGTCCCCCCGCGCCCGGAGCGCCGGACCCGGAAGTGAGAGCCTCGCATGCTCGGCAGGAACTGGCCTAGCCGGGGGCGGGGCGCCCGCACTGTGCGTGCTTGCGTCATTGCGCTGGATGGCGCGGCCGCAGGATGGAGAGGTGACGCTTCCGGTGCGTAAAAGCTGTGGGCGGGTCCAGGGAATAGGGCCGAAGCAAGCCCCTCCTCTTAAAGCCCTCTCAGCCTTTTTGCGTTCTGCAGCGCTGGCAGCGGGCCGCGGTACCTTTAAGTGTCGCCGTGACACGTGTGTGAAGCGCTAGAGGCCCGGATGGTGAGTGTGCGGGGCCCGGGCCGAGCAGGCGCCAGCGCCGCGGGCTGCAACGGGCTAGCGGAGGGCCGGGTAGGATGGGGCCGCGTTTGGGTGGTGCGTGAGTCGGGGGAAGGCTGCGCGTCCCCGCTAGACCTGCTGCGCTGGAAGCTGCGGCCTGTCGCGGGCGTACCCGGGGGGCGACCCGGGGAAACGTGAGCGCGTGTCCGTGAGTGCTCCCGGTTCCACGGGGAGGGTCTAGGGCCTCCCGGTCCGCGAGGGACTCGGGGGGTCCGCGGGGAAACGTGGGCGCGTGTCTGTGAGGGCTCCCGGCTCCACGGGCAGGGCCCGGGGCTGCGCAGTCCGCGGAGAGGCCCTAGGTCCACTCTGCGGGTCCCCCGCGAACCCCGAGCCGAGGTGGAAGGGAGAGCCGCCCCACAGGAGCCCAGGCGGGCAGGAGGCAGTGGCCTCCGTCGCTGTGGGGCACAGTCGTTAGGCACAGAAGCATCTTTCACGCAGGATCTAGCCTTGCTCTGGGGTGGTTTAAGTCAAAGTCGGGAGCAGAGCCTTCTGCCGGGCAGCAGGGCTGAGATCGTAGTTGTTTCCCATTAGTAAGCGGTGTGGAGAAGGCTCATCCTTGGAGAAGGTAGGTAACCTTCCTCATGGTCATTGTCGCGGTCACGGGGCATGTGGGTGTCTAAAGCACCGTTGCTTGGACGGAGTACTGTTGGGTCTCCCCCACGGTCTTAGCTAGAGTAGCATCCTCAGAAAGAGCCTTTCTGTAAGGGATGCGCGAACCGGGCCTCGGAGGAGAGGGACACGCAGCTTGCCGGGCACTGGTGCTCTGCGGAAGAGCGTGGAGGCCCCCCTGCCGGCGCCCCGGGGAGGCCCAGCCAGGTCCCTGCGAGGCCCCTCCCCGCCTGCACGTGGTTGACCCTGTGAGTCTCAGTGCGGTGGATCAGCGGTGGGAGAGCCAGCGCGCTTGCACGGAGCGGCGTTCGGTTCGAGGGCGCTGCGTCCGAGCTCTCCCCGGGGTGGAAAAGGACGCGGAGGAGAGGAGCCCTTCCTGGAGTGGGGGACACCTGAGCGCATCCTTCCCCGGTTTTGAAGCGTGTTTGTGGCGCCTGCCCATCGGAGGGCGTGCGGGCGATAGGAGGACATCCTTCTGTGGGTTCTCACACCTCGGAAATCGTTTTTAGGTTATTGCTTACTGTGTCAGGTGAAGCTGATGATGTAGAGGTTGGTCTTTCCATCAGAACTGGAAAAATGGTGTTCGTTCAAAGTCTGACTCTGCCGCAAGAGGTGGGCTATGGGATGGGTGCCCTTTGAGTTACTTGCCTCGAGTTAATTGGGTCGGATCTCCCGAGTTCTGTTCATCCTCTAGCTGCTGGGTTCCCAGGCGTTCGCCCTTCACACGGGTCCAGGACGAAGTGCTCGGCTGTCCCCACTGCGGTGTGTGAGTCTTCACTGCAGCAGGGACACTGGAGGGGGTTTTCCCCGTGTCTGGTGTTGATGAGCTTTTGCTCAGGGGTGTCGGACACATGACGTATCTGAAATTTGCTGTGAAGTCCTGTGGGGACAGGAGGGGAGTCGGGACGGCCCTGCAAAGTGGTCATTGTTGACCCTGAGTAAGGGGACAAGGCATCCACCCTGGCGTTCTCTCCACCTGTGAATGTGCAAGCATCTTCACGCTTAGAGGTTGTAAAGTGTCTCAGTTCTCTGTGATCACAGTGACTGCGGGCGGCGATGGAAGGGAAAAGTGCACACTGAGCAAAGAGAAAATCTGGCGATGCTTATTTTTCCTTCGATTGTTTTTTTTGTTTGTTTGTTTGTTTTTAAGGGAGGGTTCAGTGGTTCATGAAATCCGAAAGCTGGAGGTCATTCTCGTTTGCCTCTTTCCCTCCGGAGTGCCATTTAGACTGGAGCTGCCCGGCAAATGTGGGGGGGGGGGTGTTCCCTCGTTCCCTGGTCTTATCCCCGACACGAAAGTTGAAACATAGAGCGAGCGGCGTGTTTTCATATCATGCCGGTAACTAGTTTGCAGCTAGCTCCTCAGCTCCCCTCCTGACCCTGCTACATCCCCGCTGCCGCTGCCCCCCAGCCCTACCTAGGGCCGCCCGTCCCCCGCCGGCGCTCGGCCTCCCTGCTCCGCACCGCACCGCACCGCGGGGAGGCGCTGATGCGGCCGTGGGAAGAGAGCTAGCGTCACGGGTCCTCCGCTTATCCCGCAGGTTCTGACTCCCGTCCCGGGCGGCACGCCTGCGGCTTGGGCGATTTGAGGAGCCGGAGACGAGGGGCACGCGCATCTGCAGGCCCAGCCCCACAGCGGCCCCGTCTGGCCGGGGACCTGAGCCCACACCGCCGCAGCAGCGGCGTGCCCAAGGTCACACGTCCCAGGTGAGCCCCACAGGCCTCGCGTGTCTTCCCTTCCTGCGCATGACCCCGCCGCCGTCGCTCAGTGTGCGGGCTCTCTGGAGCCCGACGAGAAGTGCTTTTATTTCCCCAAGTCAAAGAACTGGCACTTGCTTCTTCACACATGAGTTTTACGCCCGGGCCAGGTGGCTCCGTTCGTTGGAGCGCCATCCTGTACACCAGAAGGTTGTGGGTTCAATCCCCGGTCAAGGCACATCTGGGAGGCAACCAATCTGTGTTTCTCTTTCACTTCCCTCTCCCTTCCTTCCTCTCGCTCTCTAAAAACAATGAACAACATGTCCTCAGGTGAGGATTTAAGACAGCGTTTAAAGACGTAAGTAAGTGTTACGAGTCTGTACTTCACAGACACGTTGACAGGCAGAGAGACCTGGCCCACGAATGCAGTCACGCTGCACAGCAATAAACCGGACTGGCCCTTTCCCTGGAGCGGGGGTTTGGGGTGCGCCCGACTCGGTGCTGCTGCTGTGGCCGGCGGGCCGGCGGGGCCTGGGGTGTGAGGGGAGAGGCGGGGGTGGGGAGGAGACGTGGTAGACACAGTGTAGCCATCAGAGGTGACAGCGTTCCTATTGGTTCCAGTTTCTGTGGCTGCCCCCTGATGTCTGCCCTCGCCCAGGGCTTGTCATCCCGCTAATGTCACACCCACCTGGGGTGCAGTTTGTGTCCCTGCTCTGCAAGGACTGGGAGACCCGTGGAAGTCACAGTGCTCGTCCTAACGCGTATAGCTGGCCACGCGCCAGAGCCCGGGGCTGCCACCGCCACTTTGCTTACATTGAGGCGTCTCGTGTTCGCTCTTGGGTCCCGGCTCCGAGCCTTGTCTGCAGGTGACCCGCACAAGCCCCGCCCCCCCGCAGGTGCTGCAGGTGCTGCAGGTGCTGCAGGTGCTGCAGTGGCTGGTCGAACGGTGAAAAGAAGCAGGCCCAGTTAGGTCCCGCGGTCTGTCTTAGTTAGCCTGAGCTGCACATGTAAAACACCATCTCGGCACGTGAGCGCCCGAAGCATCGCTGGGCGCTCTGATCCTCACGCCGAGTCCTCGGGGCCTGGTGTGCACGCTGCCACACAGCACGTCAGTTGGGCGTGGCCTCCCTCCACGTGCTTCGTGGTCCCGTGCGGCCCGGGGCCTTCGATTCGGAGAGTGTGGACCTGGGCGGACAGGCGTGTCTCTCTGACTTGCCGTGTTAACTCCTTGTCACGTGGACTTGGGTGTGTGACCGAGGGTCTTGGGGGAATTGGTGTCCCCTGGCTTTGAGCGGACACTAGGACCCCTCAGGCGCCTTTGGAGAGGGAGGAAGTCGCACCCAGGAGGTGCCCAGTCCATAGTCACTGGTGGGACTCAGGGTGCCCTCGGCGACCTGGGCTCTGGGCCCCTGTCGGTCTGGCACTCTGGGGGCGGCCGCTTGTCCTTCTGAGAGGAGCCCCACGGGTTGCAGCCCAGGGAAGCTTTCCTGTGGTGGGTGTCTGTCCATAAAGACCAGAGAGGGGCTTTTCCCAGAAGCGCCTTGTCCCTGGGCCCAGTCACTCATCGCCCTGCGATGTCCCCTCTCGTCCCCGCAGCGACGCGCCATGCCGATCGTCGACAAGCTGAAGGAAGCCCTGAAGCCCGGCCGCAAGGACTCGGCCGACGATGGGGAGCTGGGGAGGCTCCTGGCCGCCTCGGCCAAGAAGGTCCTTCTGCAGAAGATCGAGTTCGCGCCGGCCAGCAAGAGCTTCTCCTACCAGCTGGAGTCCCTGAAGAGCAAATACGTGCTGCTGAACCCCAAGGCGGAGGGGGCCGGCCGCCGCAGGAGCGCAGACGAGCCGCCGGCCAGGAGACAGGGTACGGCGCTCGCTCGCTTGCTGGCGGAGGGGGGGGCCGCGTGTGGACGGGGCCGGCGGGCGGGCGGAACGCTGACCGGGCAGGAAGGCCAGCGTGGAGTGCAGTGGGAGAGCTGGGGGTTTTGTGTGCGGTCCGTGGACCGGGTTGCAGGAGTAATGATGTGGGGCTGGTCCGAGAGAGATGCGTGTCCTTAGATTTCCTGGGCACGCGTGTGTCTCACCAGGTCCAGCGGGGGCTCGAGAACAGGACAGGAGCTGGCGGGCCGCACGGACCAGGCCCCGGCTCCCCCGGCCTGTGGTCCTCTGCCTCTCCCCTCTCAGCCATGCGGGGGGGCCCTGGATCCCAGGCCCACGCAGTCTCAGTCTGCGGGGTCCTCGGACGGCCGGCCTTCTGCTGGGCCTTCTCGCACGTCCGGGGGATGGACACCAGTCCCCCTCCGGTGCCGTGTTCAGATGAGCACGCGCTAGGCGTGCGTCCACGGCCTCTGTCCGCGGTCTTTCCGTGGCCCAGACTAACGCCGACCCCCTTCCGTCCCTGTCTCCCAGGCAGCGAGCGCCCATGCAACGGCGGCAGCGGTGACGGCGTCCCCGCCCCTCAGAAAGTGCTCTTCCCCGTGGAGCGGCTGTCCCTGAAGTGGGAGCGCGTCTGCCGCGTGGGCGCCGGGCTGCACAACCTGGGCAACACCTGCTTCCTGAACGCCACCGTGCAGTGCCTGACCTACACGCCGCCGCTGGCCAACTACCTGCTGTCCCGGGAGCACGCGCGCGCCTGTGAGTGGCTGCCGCGGGGGGGGGGGCTCCGAGTCCCCGGGGCCGCGGCCGGCGCTGCCACACTGGGCCCGGACCGACCGCAGGGTGAAGTCCAGGACCGCTGGGTAGCCGCTGAACACGGGACCTCAGAGTGCCCACAGCGGAGGGCCGTGAGAGTGGGCCGCTCGCTCCGGGGAGTGCAGCGTCCCCCAGACTTCCCTGAGCAGAGCTCCTCAGACAGACAGCAGGGTTTTCCGGAGACCCACCCTCCCCCCGCCCCCCCAGGTTTGGAGTGGGCAGCGCAGGTTTGCGGCTGTTCGTGGGGGAGCAGCGCAGCAATCAGCAGGTGACCGTACGAGAACGACGCCGTTCGAGTGCGCACGGCTGTAAACCTCTCCTCGCTCCGCCCTGCACATGTTTCAGTCATTTTACACGCTGACCGCCCTAGTGCTTTATCCACACAGAAATTGAATCGGTGGTTCAGAATCTCCCCGTGAGGAAAACCCCAGACTGAGATGGTCTGTGGGCAAGTTTCTGAGGTTTTTGAGCACGAGGTGGTTGTGGTGCTTCTCACCACCCCCCCACCCCTCCCCCGGGAAGCAGAGAACGGCAGGCCCCCCGCCCGTCCCGGGAGGTCTGCACAGCTCGGGGCCCAGAAACAAGCACAGGCGCGGAAAGGGGTTACAGTGTGCTCTCGTTTGTGAGCACAGATACCAGATCCACAGGAAATGCCAGCAAGTTCAATAGCCTTTTAAGCGCCACAAGCAATGAGTGTGCATCGTAGGCGTGCCAGGGCGCCCCCCCGCAGAGGGTCCCGGGGTCTGACCGTCGGGTGGGGTGGGGTGGGGTGGGTGCAGCACGGTGCTTGAGGGCACCGCGCTGGGCCGCCCGCTGGGTCGGCCTCCAGTGCCGCGTCTGTGGGGCCACACCATCTCCCTCGGAGCGCCGTTGGCCTCACCTGAACCACACGGGGTGGGTGCGCAGGGCCGGGCTGGGCGCACAGCGCATGCCGTGTGCGTGGGCGCCCGCTTCCCCGTCTGAGTGACCCTTACCATCTGAACATAGCAAGAGAAAGGTCACCTGAAAACAGAAGCCAAAAAATTATTCTGCGATGAAAGTCCCAGCCACATAGCAACAGAAGGGAGTTTTTCCTGATAAAGGAAACACCACAAAACGGCATCTAAGGAGGAAACTACTGGAAGCCCGCCCTTTAACCTGAGCGGCGAACCAAGGATGCCGCAGTCAGCGCTTCGTCCGAGATGGCCGGCCCCGGCAGGGCAGTGACGGGCGGAGGCAGGAGGAGGGCCCTCCTGTGGTGCTCCTGCGTGGAGAGGCGAAGGCGTCTGCAGACAGGTCGGAAAGAGGGCCGCCTGGCCGGATCCCTGACGTGGACACACAGGAAGTAGTGGGATTTCTCTCTCTGTGCCGAACAAGTGAGAAGTTGCGAGTATAAAACGATTTATAAAAGCCCCCAAAACGATGCAAAGTATCTAGACCCAGATTCACCGAGATGCACGTGGAAAACCGTTACCGAAGGATGTCTCATAGCCACCTGCCTGCACGGAGGCAGGTGCTGCGGGGGAGGGGAGGGGCGCTGGTGTGCGGGTGCCGGTTCTCCCCAGCCACGTGTAACGCACATGGCTGACGTGGCTGCAGCCTCCGTGGCAAAGAGAAGCGAAGGACCAGGGATCACCGCGACACTTCTGAGGAGGGACCCCAACGCCAAAGTGTTTATGCGGCAGCGGAGAGATGGTTGTGTTGGGGTCAGAGGTCAGGGGAGACACCGACCGACGGAACAGCACAGAGAGCCCGGGGTCACGGGTCTGGAAACGTGGTGCCGACCTGCCGGTTTTCACGTGCGCGATACGTGTGTCTCCGTTTTAAGTAAACAGAACTTCAGAAAACAAAAACTTGGGTTCACACACGAAAAGAACACTGGGGTCCTCGTGCCGCGGCACACGCTCGCACAAAGGACTGGAATCCTGGCATCCAGAGCAAAGGTGCCGCTTCCGTGACAGCCGTGGGCGGACATTTCCATGACCCTGGGCAGGGACTGGGCGCCAGCCACGACCGAGGACGCTGGTGCGTTCCGCTGCCTTCTCGTCGAGAACTTTCGTTCATGAAGCATACTTCCAATCAAAAGGCCAGCAGGGGGCCCCAGAGAGGGGGGCGAGGCCTGGGACGCAGAAACCAAGCGCTGGTGGCAGGAACAAGTGAAGAACGCCAGCAGCGACAAGGAGAAGACAGAGTAATTTGAAAGCAGATACACACCGTGGACCGGCACCTTCCGGAAGAGGAAACCCCGGGCTTGGGTTTCTTGTGCGTCGCTTTGCTTGAAGTCTGACGTCTTGGAGCCCGTCAGCCGCGTCAAGGTCCTCCTGTGCTTTGGGAAACAGCCCGACATTGTCTTGCAAACAGCGTGCTGCCCGGCAGGTCTGCAGACAAGCGCCACCACGGGGAAACCAGGAGCCCACGTAGGCGGCGGTCTGTTGGGGGCCAGCGCGGGAGCTGGAGGGGCCAGGGCCCGCCCCCTGGGTGGCGGAAGGAGACCTCCGTGAGGGACCCGCCTGGCCCGAACCTGTTCCTAACCCGGACTCCTGAGCTTTCTCAGGGCTCGGCGCAGTCAGACGCCGTGGTGGGCGGGGCCTGGCCTCGCCCCCCTGAACAGGCGTGTGGGGGTTCTCTGGGGTGCCGAGAAGTATCCCCTGAACCCGAGCAGGCCCCCTGGGGCGGGGGGCCGGCGCAGGTCCTGCCGCGAGCCTGGGCCACGCCTGCACCCAGGCAGGGGGCGAAGGAGACGCCGTGGGGCCCCCGGGAGGGCACGTCCTGTCCTTTGTCCACACTTCCCAAGTCACGGCGGCGCACTGCGTCTGTCCGCGCCGCTGAGGAAGTGTCCGACCGCGACACTTGCCGTGTGTCACCAGGGGCTCGGGAAGCCCTGTTTCAGGCAGTTCTGGCCGGAAGTGCCCCTTGGCCCACTCGAGAGCGACGCCGTCGAGGCTGCAGTCCGCAGCGTCTCACGTGGCGAGGGCACGTGGGGACAGGCGTGGGTGGCAGCCCCGTCCTCGGCGGCGTCTGACCCCGGCGGGCGCTGGGGGGCGGCTCTTTGTTTGGGCTGGTGGGGGCCTGGGGTCAGGTCATCTTCGGTGCCATATGCGCCCTGCCTGTATTTGCGCCCCCCCCCGCCCCGAGTGTGGGTCGCACCTCTGGTGGGTCGTGGCGCTGGCGCCCTCCCGCACAGGGGGCATGGGACCTGGACCTCTGGCTCCCCCGCGCTCTCCCAGCCCCCTCTCTCTGTCACGTGGGAGGGCTGCCCTCACGTCACCACCTTGTCCCCCTCAGGCCACCAGGGAGGCTTCTGCATGCTGTGCATCATGCAGAACCACATCGTCCAGGCCTTCGCCAACAGCGGCAACGCCATCAAACCCGTGTCCTTCATCCGGGACCTGAGAAGTAAGTAGATCCGAACCCCTGCCCGCTGGCTCCGCAGCGGGGCTGGCTGGAAGGCGGGGGTGGAGGGAGGGGGAGGCGCCCTTGGGCCTCGAGGGTCCGTGACCTGGTGTGCGCCGCTGGCGCTGGAGACCCACAAGGGGTGCAGCGTTAATCCCTTGGTGTTGCACCGGCTCTGGGAACACCGGTTCGTGGTGAGTTCCGAGTCTCAGTGTGGGGCACCCCGAGGCGTCCGCTCGGTGCAGAGGGTCTGAGCCCTTCGTGTCACTGCGGAAACCTCTGCCCCGGGAGTCAGGAGGGGCCATCTCTGCTCGGAGCCCCGCCCCTGCAGAGGCCCCGCCCCCTCTGACGGCCTCCCCCGCCCTCCGCAGAGATCGCCCGGCACTTCCGCTTCGGGAGCCAGGAGGACGCGCACGAGTTCCTGCGGTACACCGTGGACGCCATGCAGCGGGCCTGCCTGGGCGGCTGTGCCAAGTGCGTGCCTGCCTCGCCGCCCGTCCCCGTCGCGGGCGCCCCCGGCCCTCGGCCTCTGCCCCGGTCCCTGCACCTGCTCATACCTGGGTCCTCGACCCGGCGGAGCGCCGCCGAGGGCTGCGTGCGGTCCCGGGGAAGGCCGCTCCCGGCACCTGCCCCGAACCCAGGGAGGGGTGGCCACACTCTGTCCCCACACCCCGGTGGGGGGTGGCTTCAGCAGATCTTGGGACCTTCCCCTTGGAGGTTGCCGGTCTTCTTCAGACCGCGCCGTTGTTTTGATGCGGAGGTGGGCGGTCGGCGGTAAATGCCTCTATGAGGGAGCGGGAAAACGTGCAGGAGAGTTTGCGGGTAGGAGGTGGGTGATTTTTGGCCCATCGCTCTGCCCAGTGACATTTCCCAATCTCACACTTGAAAGCTTGTGACACACGGATGACTTCGGGCCCCTGAGTGAAACAGTCACTGTCACGGAGGCTTTGGTGTCACTCCTGGGCCTGTGGGCTCAGAGGAGAGAAAACAGGCAGGAGCCGTGTCCAGATCTGCGGCCGGTGCGGGAGCCCGAGTCTGGGGGCAGTGCCTGAGCTGGGCGGTGTGACCCGTGCTGGCGGGGAGGGGCACAGGGGAGCCGCCCCCAGGGGCCTTCCTGCACCCCCGGTGCCCCGAGCACCTCTCCTGCAGCAGGAGGCTGCCCCAGGGAATGTGGCTGGGCAAGAGGGCCTGCAGAGGCAGGTGGGGCAGAGGTGTGACTCCCTGTTCTGCAGGTGGGTGCGGCTCATCTGTGCAGTGGGCGGGGCCACCTGGGAGCTCTCAGGACGGTGACTAGCCCTGACCCCATGCCAGGCCCGTGAGCCAGCCTCTCTGGAGGCGGGGGAGTGGGGGAGGGAAGGGGAGAAGGGTAGGATGGGTGCGTTTGGGGTCTGGGCTGAGCACGGGGAGGAGTCCAGGTTTAAGGTGCAGGCAGCAGGTAGGTGTGGTGAGCCATGCGTGGTGCGGGGCCCAGGTGCTGCTGGGGCGATGGGGGTCCTGTCAGGTGAACCAGGTGTGGCCGGGCCCCATGCAGGGGGGTGGGATGCTTGCTGAGGTCCATTCTAGAGAAAGCTTGTACTGGTCTGCAGTGGGCGAGGGGACACGGGCGCAGGTGTGAGCTCTGCACAGGCAGGTGTGCGGTTCAGTGGGCGGGTGCAGTGAGCGAGGGGACACGGGCGCAGGTGTGAGCTCTGCACAGGCAGGTGTGCGGTTCAGTGGGCGGGTGCAGTGAGCGAGGACACAGGAGCAGGTGTGAGCTCTGCACAGAGTGGCGTGTGCGGTTCAGTGGGCGGGTGGAAGGCCTTTCTGCTTGGTCACTTCGAGCTTGCGAGCAGAATGTTACATTTCTGCTTCTGGGGCTTCCTGGCGACTCCCCCTCCCCGGTCCAGCAGCCCGAGGCCAGTCCAGCCCCTGGCTGTGTGATGTTGGCATCTGGTGTTTTGCCCAGAGGCCTTCAGGGCCTGATTCTGTTCTTCACGGTCTGCTGGTTTCACTGGGAACGGCCGGAGCCGGTTGCTGCTGGCCCCTTCTCCCGGCCACCAGGCACCCGGCCAGGGACAGAGGGTGACCGCTGGAGGCCAAGTGGGACTGTGTGGACGGGAGAGGGTCCTCGCTGGGCAGCTCGGCGGCTGGCGGCTGAGTGCTACCCCCTCCCCCACCGTGCCCCCGTCAGGTCGGCCCTGGAGACGCTCCCCAGCAAGCCAGGCGGACACGGTCGGGCTGTGCAACGCACCCCCGACCTGGCTTCTCTGTGAACTTGACACGGTCCGTCCTCTGGCGCCAGGGAAGGTGACCTTGCTCCGCGGGCATTGCCACTGATCGGAAAGCCACGCTCACCTCGGGGACGGCACCGGGCCCAGTCTGGGGGTTTTCCTTGTGTGCCGGTTCTGTGTGTGGTCTGACGGCGTGCTTCCGTGTCCAGGCCCCCAGGCCCTGCCGTCCGCCAGCCTGCCCCCAAGTTCTGTCCCCCGGCAGCCGGGGCCAGGGCTGTAACCGGGCTCTTGTCTCCGCTGAGCATCTTGGGCTTCAGCCTTCATTTCTGAACTGATAGTGGTTTTTCCCATGTGTTCAATTAACTTTCTCTTTCTTTTTTTTTTTAGAAAAGATTTTATTTATTTGTAATTAAAGAAGGGAAGGGCAGGGAGAAGGAGAGGGAGAGAAACATCAATGTGTGGTTGCCTCTCACACGCCCCCTGCTGGGGACCTGGCTCACAACCCAGGCCTGTGCCCTGACCGGGAGTCAAACCCAGGATCCCCTGGTTCGCAGGCTGGTGCTCAGTCCACTGAGCCGCACCAGTCAGGGCTACCTTCTTGCTTCTCTTATTTCTAGTTTTAAAGTATCTCATTCTTGGTCATTCTCATCTCCCCAAATGCTCGAGCCTCAGCCTGGGGTTTTGTGTTGCTTCTTTCTCTGCTTTGTGCTTGTTCTCTGGGACTGATTCTCACCAGTGAGTTGTCTGCTTCTGGTTTTTCACGCTGTTCTCATTTGTCCAGGGAGTTTGGGGACTGGCCCAGCTGGTAGCCCGGGCGCCCCCTCCTGCCAGCCGGGGGAAGCGCGCCCCATAGTGGAGGCAGTGGGCTGGACGGCAGCGTCTTTTCATGGCTTTTCAGGCCCGAGTTCCCCTCGGCTTTTCTTGCCCTTCCCCACCCAGGTTCCTGGGGGGCCCGCCCACCCTCCCACCTCTACCCGAGAGTCACCATCTCCGGGCCGCCTCCCCCGCTGCGTCCTGGTGCCCAGCATCTCGGAGCCACGCTCTCTGTGGGCTCCCACGGTCCAGCGGATGCGGCGTCGGCGCTGTCTCGGCGCCGGGCTGCCGGAGAGAGGGCTGGGTGGCTCCCTCTGCTTGAGCTCCAATAAGCTTTGTCGGGCGACCTGGCGGCAGCTGCCGTCCCGGGAGCCGCCCTGCGGCCGCTCGTGCCTCGCCGGCCTTGCTGGTTAGTTGCTGGGGTTCAGTGTCCCGTCTCCTGGCGATCGTAGGTGGTGGCCGTTCGTTTTTCATCTCCTGGCTTTGCCAAATGAGAACGTGGGGACCCTGTGGGTCCCCCGCATGTTCTGGAGTCGTTGCCTCAGCGAGCGCCCTGGGGGGTCTGGCACCGGGCCATCAGAGTCACGTGCACCGGCCGGGAGGGCGGGACGGTGCCCTCGGCGCGCTCCGCAGGTAGCGGGAGGCCGTGGTGTGTGTGTGCATGCGTGCACCCATGCGTGTACGTGTGCACAGAGTTCTCTGGGCGGCACACGCAGTGAGAGGAGCCCCGGCCTGGGAGCCCCAGGGGGTCTGCAGAGAGGGGCAGGTGCCGGTGGAGGGGACACTTGTCCCAGTGGGGGGTGGGCCACACTGCGCGCTGCCGCAGCGCTCCCTGGGGAGTCACTAAAGCCGACTGCACTGGTGTCCCAGGGGTCATGGTGGCTCCGAGGAACCAGGCGGGTGGGTTCAGTGGGCTGCAAGTGAAAGCCGGGAGCAGGGGCCCGATGGGGTGTGTTGCTTCCAGAAGCTTCCTAACACGGACCACAGCAGCGTCCAGGGGCTGTGCTCTGCATCCTATAGTTACTAAGTGGGCTGGGGGGTTCAAGGTAGGTTTGCCCGGCCCTGAGCCCACGCCTGGGACCACCACTGTCTTACCAAGGGGGCATCCACGTGGGGATTTGTTCCGGAAAAGAGGCTGGTATTGCCAGTTGAGAGGTGGAGGTGACCATCAGGGCTGAGGCCAGTAAGTGGACAGGTGGAGGGAGTGAGGTCACCTTCTCCAAGGGATGGAGGGGACCCCGAAGGCTGAAGGGGGCGGTTGTGGGGAGCGAGCTGTGAGGCTCAGAGCGGTGTGGAAAGACCGCTGGGCCCCCGCTGAGACTCAGCGTGAGCGGGCCAGGCCCCGGGCTGTGTGCGGGGTGCGCCAGGCTCCCAGCCGTGGTGAGGGGCGTGCACCAGACTTCTGGCCATGTGTGGGGTGCACAAGGCCCAGGCTGAGCTGGTGGCGAGAAGGAAGGGGAGTGGGCGGGGTGCAGGTCCTGCTTTGCTGTGGCCTGTCGTTGGTCTGAAGGCTCGTGGCCTCCTTCCCAGGTTGGACCGCCAGACGCAGGCTACGACCCTGGTCCATCAGATTTTCGGAGGCTACCTGAGATCTCGTGGTAAGTGGGGGCTTCTCTCTGCCGCTCCTGGTCGCAGGCCAGAAGGTTGACCGGGGGGGAGGAGGACTGAGAGTGGGCAGTCCCCTGGCAGCCCCCGGGGCCTGGGGCCTGGCCTCCAAGCCGCGCCCTGGCCCCGCGCTTTGCCTGATGGGCACGCCAGTCCCGGGAGGAGTTCGCAGCAAAACATGAAGCGTGTGCAGAGTAAGGGGTGTGTGGTCCATCCTCTTACTCCCTCAGCCCCTCCGGGGGGACCTTGCCCTTCACTGCCCTGGGCAGTGAGCGCCCACAGGGCCATGGGTTGCCTGGGCAGTGCCCTGTCTCCAGGCGGCACCGGGTGTGACATTCATTTGCTTGTGAACTCCGGGGGCCCGTGCGCTCTCTCTCCACATGCCGGGGTCTGGGGGGTGCTGTCTGCTGAGAGGACCTCCCAGTTCTGGGACTCCAACACCGGCGGGGGCAGGGGGTAGCAGCCAGGGACACCTGGGGATGGCGGGCGGGGTTGGCCTCAGCCGCCCGCCCCTCTCTGTTCTGTGGCAGTGAAGTGCTCGGTGTGCAAGAGCGTCTCGGACACCTACGACCCTTACCTGGACGTGGCGCTGGAGATCCGGGTACGGCGCGCGGCCCCGACAGAGGGCGAACGCCCCCAAGTCACAGGCCCCTGCCAGGGCGCGGGATCCAAGCAGACGAGGCAGAGATCCTTAGACTCCTCGTGCCTCCGAGTGGGAGCGGCTGCTGTCGCATCGCTCTCTCGGGCCTTTCCTCCTTGCACGTGTCTCCCCCCACCCCCCGTTTAGAAAGTGGGCTGCGGCTGCGTCCTGAGGTGCGGCGGGGACCGGGCTGTGCCGGGGACCGGGCTGTGCTGCGGCCGCCAGAGCTCCCAGCAGCCTGGGGCCCAGAGCAGACCCGGCGGCCAGCCCCCCGCCGCGGCCCTCTCTGGTGGGGCAGGCACGAGGGCTCCCCCGTTCCTGGGGGAGGGGTGTGAGCCCCGGAAGGCGGCAGCTCGGGGGCCGGTTTCTATGCCAGCGGAGTGCTGCAGTCCACTGCCTCGGCCCGAAAGAGCCCGCACGTCTGGCCCTTCTGGAGGGAGCCTCATGCCCCCCCCGCAGCAGGTCCCCGTGCTCACCCCGCCCCTGCCACGGGCCCCCGTGCTCACTTCTGCCCTCCTCAGCAAGCCGCGAACATCGTGCGCGCCCTGGAGCTGTTCGTGAAGCCGGACGTCCTGAGCGGGGAGAACGCCTACATGTGCGCCAAGTGAGTTTCACTCCGCCCGCGGCCGGACCGCCAGGGCGGCCCCAGAGGACCGAGAAGCCACCCGACCTGACCCCGCCGCCGCGCGCTGTCCCCTCCCGGCCGCCTCCCTGGGCGGCCACCCAGCCTGCGCTGCTTTCGTGCTGCGTGCCCTCCCTCGTTCTCAGCCTCCGAGTTAGCCCGAGGTCCCTGCCCGTGCACCTCGGCTCCCAGTTGGGGGGTGTCCGTCGTCCCCTGCGGCGGCTGGGGCTGCGGGAGGCCCACGTGTTGTTTAAGGCAGGCGATCCGGGGGCGCGGTGCCGTGGTATGAGGACAGCCCCTCGGACGCGAGCTGACTCCCCCGCCCCCCCTCAGGTGCAAGAGGAAGGTGCCCGCCAGCAAGCGCTTCACCGTCCACCGGGCGTCCAACGTCCTGACCCTGTCCCTCAAGCGCTTCGCCAACTTCAGCGGCGGGAAGATCACCAAGGTGGGTGCCCGGCGCGGGGGCCACGGGGCCGCGGAGTCCCCACACGACGGCTGCACACGGTCGCGCTCCAGAACCGCCGTCTCGCTGGGTTTTCGTTCCCAGCCTCTGCCCGTGCTCGGGTGTCCCCGGCGTCCAGGTTTCCTTAAGCACGGCGGCCTTCAGTGGGTCGGGTGTCGTCCGGCAGAGGGAAGGTCGCCGGTTCGATTCCCGGTCAGGGCACAGGCCTGGGTTGTCAGCTCAGGCCCCAGTCAGAGTGCATGCGAGAGGCAGCCACACACTGGCGTTCCTCTCCCTCTCTCGCTCTCTCCCTTCCTCTCTAAGAATAAATAAATAAAACACTTGTTAAAAAAAGAATAAGTAAAATGAACGTGGGACTACGTAGTTCTGACCTCCACGCCCCACTGGTCTCTGAAACGGACGGGCTTCCGTGCCGTGGCTTCTGCGGGACGTGGAGGGAGGTTTCCCTTCCACACGGCGGCGTCTTAACGTTCGTCCTGCCGCACAGCCGGCCGGGGCTCTGTCCCAGCTGCCGGAGCCCGTCACCCGGTCCGGGGCGAGGCGCCCGTGCGAGCCTGGCTCCTCGCTGGCGGCGGGCCGGCCCGGCCAGCACGCCCCTGACCGACGTTCCGCACAGCGGCGACACCGTGCTTCGAGGAAGAGTGTCCTCAGCTCGGCTGGGTTTCCGAAATGCCGACAACTCTGATGGCAGGCCTTCTCAGAGCCTCTGCGGAGCTCTGTGGCCTTTCAACCCCCCCGGAGGGGAGTTTATAGTGAAGAGCTGTCTAACCCTAGTTGCCGGGCAGTCCCGGGCCCCTTGTTCCCCGGGCAGCCCCGAGCTCGCTGGGCCCCGTGCCCCGAGAGGCACCCGGGGTGGGCGGGGGCCGTCGGGGTGTGTGCGGGGCCGGGGACCTGCCTGAGGAGCCGGTGGGACCGCTGTGCCCTCGGAGCAGTGTGGGGAGAGCAGCGTGTGGCCTGGGGCCCCCGGGGTGTGTGCCGGCCTCTGGGGCTCGGCGGCAGGCGGCGCCGGGAGAACTGTGAGCGGTCACGACCACAGGCACCGTGCCGGCGTAAAGAGGCTGGACACGGGGGCGCGGTGTGCACCTCTAGCCGAAGGTCAGACAGGCGGGCTGGGTCAGCGCTGGCTGAGGTCAGATGGGAGGGTCAAGGTTGGGGCACTGAGAGGGATGCGGGGCTTTTTGGGTCAACGGCTCCCCCTGACAGGCCTGTGGGTCAGGGGTGCACGGGTGAACCCTCACCGTGCGGCACGGCCGAGAGCCGTGGGCTGCGCACCGTGCGAGCCGTGGTGCAGGCAGTAAGGGAAGGAGCCTGGTCCCCCTCCTGCCCTTTCCTGAAAGGTGATGTAGGAAACACCTTCCTGTGAGGGACCGTCGGGTTCTGAACTGAGTGTGGCGTGCCCTGTGTTCTGGGCCGCGGGCGACAGCGTAGCTCACTGCGGCCGCGGGCCCCGGGGAGGCAGCACCTCTGCCCCCGCAGGCCCAAACCTGCATCCCCCCCCTCCCCGCTGGCCCGGCGCGGAGCCTGTGGCGAGGCGGGGAGGACAGGGGGCCGGCCACTGTCCTCGCTCAGGCATCTCCGCCCCGGGTCTGTCCCTGTGGCCTGGGGGAGCCTCCCCCGACCCCGTGGCTGCGCCCAGTCTCCCCCGGTGGCGTGGGCAGCTGAGTCGGGCGTTGTCCGAGGGGGTGGGGGGTGGACGGAGAGGGCGAGGAGGCCCTCCCGCTCGCGGGTGGGTTTTAACCGCCGCCCGCTCGCTTCCCGGACAGGACGTGGGCTACCCGGAGTTCCTGAACGTCCGCCCGTACATGTCGCAGAGCAGCGGCGAGCCGGTGCTGTACGGGCTGTACGCCGTGCTGGTGCACTCGGGCTACAGCTGCCACGCCGGGCACTACTACTGCTACGTGAAGGTCGGTGCGCGGGCGGGGCTGCCCGGGTGCGGGGCTGGGGGGGCCCCGGTGTCGCCTCGGGGAGGCCGAGCCCTGGTGGGAGGCGCCCCGCGGAAGGGAGAGCCGGGGTCCCGGGCAGAGGCTGAAGGGGACACCGCGCACCCCGCGGGGTCGCGTCCGGAGCTGGGCGGACGTTAGACGTTTGGTGCGGCAGCGTCGCTGGTTAACCGGCACGTGGGGGTGGGGGTGGCCGTCAGCAGCGGGTTGCGTCTCCCCCTTCCTACGAGGGCTCTGAGCTGCTCGGTTTGGTTGTGTCCGCCCCGCACCCTGCGCTGCTCCAGGCCAGCAACGGGCAGTGGTACCAGATGAACGACTCCCTGGTCCACTCCAGCAACATCAAGGTGGTTCTGAACCAGCAGGCCTACGTGCTCTTCTACCTGCGGTAGGTACCCCCCTCCGCTCTGCCAGGCACGCGGGCCTCCCCGGCCAGGGCCCCCCCGCCCCAGGAGGACCTGAGCAGCCCCGACCCATGAGCCATGGGCCCGGCTGGTGCCCTGGCCGGCGAGTGACAGCCAGGGCCCCTGGGAAGGCCGAGCTGGGTCCTGTCACCCCCACTGAGGTGACTGTGAATGGAGGAGGGAAGTCACCTGTCTCTCAGTGCCCCAGGTGGGAGACCCGGGCTGGCCAGCACTTCCCCTGTGGGCAGGGTGGGCTCGGTGGGCAGGGAAGTTGGGGGTGAGGGGGGGCTCGGTTGAGGGGGGCTGCAGCAGAGGGAGCACCTCTGGAAGGCGCCTGTTCTCGGGGCTGCTTGTCACGGCCCTGGGGCTGGGGGCTGGAGGGCGTGGAGACGGAGGCTCTCCTGTGGCTCCGCGCCCGCGTGCTGACCGCCCCCCCCGCGGGGGCCCGTGAGGCGCGTCGGGCCCGCGGGCCGGCAGAACGGGGACTCCCTGCTCCCACGGAGCTGGCGTCCGAGCCGCGAGTGGCAGCCGCACTCGGGTCTGAGGGCCATGCGGGGGTTCAGAGGCGCACGCTGGGAAGGTCAGGGTTCTCTCTGGTGGGGTTTCTCGCCCCTGCTCCCCCCTTTTTAAAACGGACTCGTAGCCTTGACTGTCGTCTGTTCTGACTCCTCCTCATGGCGACTGTGCCATGTGCCGTGCGCCATGTGGTGGAGCCCGGCCCGTGTGTGCTCTCTCCGTGGCAGGGTTCCCGGCGCCAAGAAGGGCCCCGAGGGCCCCGTGTCCAGGCCGGGCTCCGCCCTCGCTGGCCGCCCCGGCGTCCTCCCGGACCACGGCAGGAAGAGCATCGGCGGCAACGGGGCTGGCTCGTCCCCGCTGGCCGGAAAGGTGATTCCTCAGCGGGAGGGGTTTGCCGCTGGGTGGGGGGGGGGGGGGGGCTGGGTCTCCGTGGGGGGGGCGGGCGGGGCTCGGAGCAGCAGACCCCCTGCTTTCCCCACCTTCTCTCTCCCGCTGGCCGTCAGCTGACACTGGCCGAGCGGGAGGCAGGGACAGTGATGACCCAGCAGATCCAGCCTGAGTCACAGTGTGTCCCCGTCCTAGTCCTACGCCAGCTGCCCTGCAGAGGCACGGCGGCGGGTTCGCTGAGCAAGCACCCGGGGAAACTGTGTTTTGTCCTCACTTTCTTCTCTCTCTTCTTTAAAAACCTTCACTCGAGAACACGTTTGTGGGTTTTTAGAGAGAGAGAGAGAGAGAGGGAGGAACACCCGTCGGCTGCCCCCCGCGGGCGCCCCCGTGGAAAGTCAGACCTGCAGCCCAGGCCTGTGGCCTGAGCAGGGACCAAACCCGCAGCCTCTGGGGGAGGGGACAGTGCGCCGGGCGACCGTGTCCCCTGCCGGGGCTGTCCTCACGCTGTGACGCTGCGAGTGTGAGTGGTCTGTGCCCGCGCTGACTCCCTGTCTTAGTTGTTGAACTGTGGTTGTGTTAGGGGAACACCCGTGCTCCTGGGGACCCACCCGGGTGCACTTGCAGGTGAAAAGGTGTCGTGTCCAAAATTCCCTCGCGCAGTTAGAGTACATATGTATACACATGTAGAGAGAGAGGGCGGGGAGAGAATATGCTAATGTGGCAAAATGTTAGCAGTTAGGAAATACCCTTGCAGTTGTTTTTGTGTGTGTTTGAAATTTCCTACTAAAAATGCTGAGCTCAGTTTTACTAGCAAAGTATCCAGTGACATGAAGGACTCACTCAAGCGACTTCAAGTCCCTCTGTCACCCGTCCAGAGAAGACCAGTGTGGGGGGGATGGGGGCCTGAATTCGGTCCCCTGGGCACCTGTTCTGAGACAGAAACCCCGGCTGGCGAGCGCGCCAGGCCGGGTGCTGCCGGCTTGTACTGGAGGAGAGAGTCCGTCTCCGATTGTCTCTCCAAACGACAGCTTTTAAGCACAGGGCCTGGGGGCGGGGGCTGCGTGGGGCGCCTTCGAACTCCGAGCTGCTGGCTTAGAGGGTCTGTCCCCACGACAATGAGCCTGTGGGCGGGGGGGGGGGTGAGGTGCCTCCTGTGGTTTGGCCGGCTTTGGCGGCACCGGGGGAGTGCAGCTTAGTGGTTGCCCCGTGCCACGAGAGGGGGGCGGGCGGACACGGCAGCCGGCGGGAACCGAGGGCGTCACGTGGGGCCCCCGGGGAGACCGACGGGCTCCCCGCCTGGCCAGACGCCGGAAGGGAGGACGGTGCCCCTGCGTCCATCGGTAGTTACGTTCCGGTGACGGAGCCCGGGCAGTTTTTGTTCTTGACGCTTCTGTGTACTTCTCGGGCCCCAGGGGAGACGTGCTGCTTCCATGGGGGAGGCCCACGGGGCCCAGGCGCACACGGACGCAGAGGCGTGTGCCATGAGCGACACGGTTCCAGGGAGCGTCGGTGCCGTCCCTGCGTGCCTGCCGGCGTCCTCGCGCCGGACGCGGGCCGCGGTGGCCGGAGAGCGCCGGTGCCTGACCGCGCCCCCCCTTGCCGTCCCCCAGAGACCGGACCCGGCGGCGGCGAGGCGGCTGCAGGGCGCCGAAGAGACGGGCGTGCCGGTGTCCCGGCACGGCGCCCTGGCGGGCCTGAGGCCTCAGAACGGACACGCTCCTCCAAAGCCGCCCTCGGGGTCCCCCTCCCCCCGACTTTGCAAAGCGCCGGCGCCCCAGCCGACCGTCCTGGACGAGCCGGGAAGGAAGGCCGAGAAGCCGGCGCCCCTGCAGCCCCGCCTCCCCCCGCCCCTCCAGACCTCGCGGGGGCCCCACGGAGCCCGCGCCCCGGGCAGCAGCAGCAGGTGTGACGGCCACCGGCCCGGCTCCTGGGACCGCAGGGGCGCCGGCCTCTCTACCTCACCCAAGCTGCCAGCCGCCGCCGCCGCCATTGTCAACGGGCACGGGCTCGGGGCCGCCGCCCTCAGCTCGGGGGACTCCAGCAGTCCCAGCCCCGAGCACTCGGCCGGCAGTGACCCTCCCCGGCCCCCCTCGACCCCCCGGAGCGGCGCTGCCCGCCTCTGTGACTCTCAGGGAAGGACCCCCGTGGCCGGCGCCCCCAGGGCACAGCCCGCTGGCGACGATGCGAAGGCGGCGAAGCCGCGGTCCCCCGTCCTGAGCAACGCCGCCCTGGAGCCCGCCAACGCCACGTCCCCTCCGCCAGCCAAGAAACTGGCCCTTTCTGCCAAGAAGGTGGGTATGGGGGGGGTCTCACCGCCACTGGCAGTGTCAGGGGGCTGTGGTTTGGGGAGTGGGCCCCCAGATCGGGGGAGCAGGCTGTTTGTGGCCTTCCTGGGCAGCGGGGCGTCCAGGGGTGAGGCGGGGGCGGGGTCTCGAGTTCCTGCTGTCCCCGAGTGTGCAGGGACACCAGCAGGGGGTGGGGGTGGGCAGCAGGGGCCCGCAGCCCCGGTTTGTAGAACAGCAAAGCAAGGGCCCAGGGTGGGGCGGGCCCGTGGGGAGCGCCAGGCCTGGGGCGTCCCCCCACCCCCTGCCGTGTGTGGCGCAGAGCTCCGGGTGGGGGGACGGTCGTGCTCTGGGTTTTGCTGGAATTTCCTTCCTCTTCTCCTTTCTGTTTCTAACCAAAGTCACTTCTGATTCTTCTTCTTCTCCCACTGCCCCCACCCCCACTCCCCCCTTTTCTCCTCCGCCCGCTCATCCTGCTTTCTGGACTCTCCCGTCTGTTTGTTTCATTTGTTTATTTCACGTCCATCTCCTCTCCTCTCCTCACGCCTGGCAACCTCGTTTAGACCACCAAGCTTTTGTTTGTGTCAATGACTGCAGGCCAGCACCCCGCGGAGGGCCCCCGGCACTGACCGCCGCGCACCCCCCTTCCCGCCGCCCTCCGACCTCGCCCGCCCCAGGACAGCCGATCACCCCGCCGCTGCCTGCACCCGGCCCGTGGGTCCCACCAGGTGAGCGCGGGGGCGGGCCCCAGGGGTGGGCACCTCTCCCTCCCCTCCAGCCGCCCGCGGGAAGGCCGGCGCCGGCGGCTGGACAGACACGGCGCCATGTGCGCCCGGCTCTCAGGCTCTGCCTGCTCCGGGGCTCCGGGGGCCCCGTGGCGGCTCCGCGGCGGCGTGGTCTCCCGGTCCCGGGTTTTGTCCTCTCGTCTTCCTTTTCCGCCCGCCCGCCGCACACGTGTGCTGACGGGTGTGCTGGGAGTGAACCGACTGTGTCCCCTCCCCCACCCCGGACAGGGCCCGCGGGAGAGGAGGGCGGGAGCCCCAGACAGACCCCAGACGGACTCAGGGGCCTTTGCACTGGCTTCCCGGGCGCACCTGAGCGGGGCGGGGTCTGTCTCCTTGGATCCCCAGAGCCTTCTCGGGTGGGGACCGGCCCTGGCGCCATCTGCTTCGAGCTGGTGTCTCCAGCAGGAGTGCCGTGCCGTGCTGTGCCGTGGGCGCTGCCGGAGCCCCGGCCCCCATAGACGCCCTCCCTGGGGGTTCAGGTCCCCCTCCTGGCCCGGGAGACCCAGACGTGGTCCCCTGTGTGCCGGCGCGTTGAGTGGCGGGAAGCAGGGAGTCTCGGGCAGAGGCTGTCTGACCGGGCAGCTGGAGGCCTCAGGCCGCTGGGGAGGGCCGGCGGGTGGGAGGGAGGGGGGCGAGGCATGAGGTGGTTTGGGTGAGGTTAGTGTGGGCCCTGGGATCGGGCGTGCACCCCACTTGGGGGCGCTGTCTGGCCGCATGCCCCTGCCCTGGCTCACACTTAAAATACTGCTATTTCTAGCACAGGGGAGTTTTTTTAAAAGATTTTATTTATCTATTTTTGGAGAGATGGTAAGGGAAAAAGAAGAGAGGGAGAGAAACATTGACCAGTTGCCTCTTTCACGGGCCCCCTACGGGGACCTGTCCCACAACCCAGCCTTGTGCCCTGACTGGGAATCGAACCAGCGACCTTTTGGTTTGTAGGCCGGCGCTCAGTCCACTGAGCCACTCCAGCCAGGGCTCTAGCACGGTATTTTTGCACATCGCAAAAATACTTACGGCGTTTATTCGGTATTTAGTCTCTGACCCTGACCCCAGAAAGCACAGGAGAGTAAGACACAGCGCAGTTTGTGTGGCCACCACAGTTTGTTCTGGTTGGGACGGTGATGAGAATGACCCCATTTATGCGGTGACCTTGTGAGACGGGCGTTCTGGCCGGTCGCTGGCAGGTGGGATCTCGAGGTGGAGAGTTAGCCTTTCCCGGGTCCCATCGTGGGCCGGACGGGGGCCGCCGTCCCTCGCTCACCTGCTGCGCGCCCCGCCCGTGAAACCGGCCTCCCCGGTCTTCCTGGACCTGGCGTCCCAGGAGACGGTCGGAGCCGACGACGCTCGCGGCCCTACACCGGCCTTTCTCCGCGGGCTCCCCGCCCGTGCCAGGCCGCCTCGGGGCTGGGGACCGGAAATGCATTGCATAGCAACGCTTTTCCATCGTAATGTATCAGCATTGAAACTCAAACACACTGGAGCCCGCAAAAATACTGTGAGCAGCTCAGTGACAAGAAACCAAGGGGTGCGCAACGATGTTCATTATTAACCTTGACGTTCGGTAGACCTGAGCGGTGCTGTTCACCTGTCTTTGCTGTCTCACTGAGGTTCGCCGGGGAGACCTCGGCCAGAGGGGCGGGCCCAGGGCGGACGGGGTCTCAGGGCAGCTGTCCCCGCTGCCTGGCCGTCCTCACAGGCCTGTTCCTCCTGCTCCCAGGTCACCTGGCCCCCGCCCTGCGACACTGCCCAGCAGCCCCAAGCCCCTCCGGACGTCCACCCCTGCTCCCCTGCCTCAGGTCAACGGGGGCTTCCCGGCTCCTCCACACCAGCCGCCGGAGGCCAGCGAGCCCCCCCAGAGCCCCTCTAAGAAGAACAGGGGCCACCTGGGGGAGATTCGGGGGCAGGGCTTGGAGGGGGGGAAGGCAGCGGCGGCCCCTCCCGGGAAGAGGAAGAGGAGGAAGAGGAAGCGCCTAGAGGACTCGGACACCTGCGCCCCGCTGGAGGGGCCGCGCCGGAGCCCTGAGCGCGGGAAGGAGGATCCAGCAGAGCCGCCCGCGGCGAGACTGCAGGGAGAGGGAGGGCAGCAGCCGGTGAACGGCCGGGGCCCTGTGAATGGATGGCAGGCGGGACGCAGGGCAGGAGGCCCCCTCGCCAGCAAGAAGAGGCGGCGGAAGGCAGTGCTGGGTGCTGGCGGCTCGGCCTGCCTCCACCAGCACCCGCCGTGGCCCGGGTGAGAGCAAGGAGCCAGGCAGCCCTGCCTTCCCCCCAACGAAGCCCCGCCCGTGCCCAGGTGGGCGTCGCCCGCAGATGCAGCCTGCTGGCCCGCGGTGCCTGGCCGGCACTGCGGGTGGGGTGGTCGCCGGACCCCGGCCCGCCGGCTCTGGTCGCGTCACCCAGTGTGCAGGACTCGCCTCGGTCAGGGTCTCCGGCGTCCTTCTGTCTGGCTGTGGCGTGGACGGCCAGCAGGCTCCGCCCCGCAGGCCAGGCCCGGGGTGGCGCTGTGCGGGGTGACTGCGGGGGTGGCCCGTGCAGCTGGGGGAGGAGGGGCCGACGGTGCACTCTGACTCCCCAGGGGCGGCTCCCCCTTGGAGGTCGCCGAGCCGGAGAGCACTGCAGCATCCCCGCGGAAGAAGAAAAAGAAGAAAGGAAAGCTGGAAGCTGGGCAGGAAGCAGCGGAGGAGGGGCACCCCGAAGGCTGGGGGAGCGAGAGGCAGAGGGGCCCAGCCGTCCCTGGGAGCAGCCCGGTGCCCGCTGCCCATGGCCCGGGCCCTGGGGACCTCGCAGGTTAGTGCGCCGGGAGGGCGGGGGAGGGGTGTGGGGGGAGGGGCCGCAGGCTGTCAGCTCCTGGGGGTCCGGGGGCCCACATCTCCTTGTGTGCCGGGGAGGCGGCCGTCAGATATGCTTCCAGCAGCTGTCACCGGGGAGCTGGGGCGGGGGGCTGCTCCGAGTGCGGGGGTGGGTCTCCTGGGCGGGGCCTCGGTGCCACTCCAAGTGCCTCTGCTCGCAGGGCTGCGGCGGGCCCCCCCGGAGTCCTGCCACCGAGAGCACAGCGGCGACGTGCTCCAGGAGCTCCTGGGGTGCTCGTCAGACCACGCCTACGGGAAGAAAGGTGCGTCTGGGGACTGGGCCCAGGGCGGGAGAGTGCGGACCAAGCACCGTGCTGGGTGGGGGTGGGTGGGAGGTGAGCCCCCGAAAGAGAATGTGAGGTCTTTGTTTCTCAAGCGAGGGCACGGGTTTAAACTCAAGCACTCTCTGAGGGGGCAGGGGTGGGGTGACAGGAGCTGTGACCTCGGGCGGCAGGCACACAGCCCAGGGGGCAGACGGCGGGCCGCAGAGCCGCACCCTCAAGACCTGCGTAGTGAGAACTGCGTAGCGTCCACCCAGGGAACCCAGCTGCCGGGGAGACTGACGGGCGGGCAGGGTGGCGGGGACCCGAGGGCCGACGACGCGCACGTGTCTCGCAGTGCTGACCTGGAGCGGCACGGTGTCGGCCGTCAGCCTGGACGCCATCCGGGACAGCAGGCTGGCCCGCGCCTCCGCGGTGACCGACAGCTGGGACGAGGAGTTCGACCGCGGGAAGGTGGGTCTGCCCGCGGACTCGCGCCAGCGCCCCAGGGGGCACGGGGCAGGGAAGGCGTGGCCTCTCGGGGAGTGGGAGGGGCCGAGGGCCACACTGAAGCCTGGTGGCCGGGGTCACGGGCCGCTCGGTCGCTGCAGATGTCCCCGGTCACCCTGTCCCTCGTCAGTAATGTGGGGCCCTCGGGGCTCCCACAGGCCACGTGCGGAGTGAGGCTCTCACCGTGCACAGTGGGTCTTGTCGCACACAGCAGCCCTGGGACCGGGGACAGCTGTTCTCGGTTTTCAAGACACCTATGGTTCTCGATCTAGGAAAAGAAAATTAAGAAGTTCAAGAGAGAGAAGAAGAGGAACTTCAACGCCTTCCAGAAGCTTCAGAACAGACGGAACTTTTGGTCTGTGACTCACCCGGCCAAGGCCGCCAGCCTCAGCTACCGCCGCTGAACCGCCGCTGTCCAGGCGGGTCAGTCTGGGGTGCGAGTGTGTGTGTGTGCACACGTGAGTGCCTGTGTGTGTGCGGGTGGCCTGGGGGGTGGGGCGCGGGCACAGCGGTTGCTCACCGAGCACGACCGTGGGGTTTCCGGCTCCGTCTGCGGCCCTGCGGGGCCCCCTGCCGGATGGTGCGGGAGGGCGGGGGCGGGGCCGCCCCGTGTCCTTCCTCAGGAGCGCTGTTTGCCCCGCAGACTCGCGGAGACCGGCCTCCGTTCCTGGGGACCGTCCCTGCTGTGGACCCCGAGGTCCGCCGGTCACCAGCGGCCCCACACCGGGAGCCGCTGCGGGAGGACGCACACCGGGGCTCCAGCCCCTGCGGCCAGGACCTCTGGCAACACGGCCCGCCCGAGACAGAGCACGCGGCCGCGCGTAGGGCCGGAGGCGGCTGCACCGCAGGGAGCCTGGATGGGGCGTCCGGCCCGGGCTGTGGGGGAGAGCCAGGGGGGACGGCGGCCACGCTCTGCTCCTGGAGGCGGGCACTGCCCTCCCTGTCCCCTCGGCAGGGCCCCGCCTGAGCGCCTTACCTGTGCCCCCCGGGAACCCCGCCCGACCCCGGCCCCCAGCGCACCTGTCCCTCGCCGGGGGCTGGGGCCGCGAACCCCCTTGCTGACGCGTCTGCTCGCCCGCCCGGCTGCTGCCTGTGCTGAGGGCCTTTCCCGCACCTGCCCTGCAGCCCCGGGCAGCCGCGGGTCCTTACCCGGGGGGCGGGGGGGGGGACCGTCGCTCTGCCCGAGCCCGCGGCTTCCGCCAGCAGTGTGCCCTTCCCCGCCCCGAGCGTGCCGGCCTGGCGCTCGGCTGTGCGCGTGCTTGTGAACTGAGGCGGCCGTGTGGCCCCGGGGGAGCGCCCCCGGGTCTCGCTCAAGCTGTGCCTGCGAACCTGCAGAGCAGGGGTCACGGGAAACCCTCCGCTTCTGCCCCCCACTTTCCCCGGGACACGTGCGTGCTGCTGGACCGCGCCGTCCCCCTCGGCCTGAGGCTGACCGGCCCCCCGGTGCCCGGTGCTTTGTCACCTGCCCCCTCCGGAGGGGGGAGGGGGGCAGGTGCCTGTGTGGGCGGGGCCCCGCCCCTCCCAGGTGCGGTGCACAAGTTCCTCGGCCCGGGTCCCCGGCCGTGCCGCTCTGCGCCCTTCCGTGTGCAGAAGGCAAGTTCTGTCGTCCCCGAGCCCCGGCCGTGCGTCCCCGCCCACCTCTGGGAGTCAGCCCCTCCCTCCTCGGCCGAGTCATTGTGAAACCTTTTCCTGAGGAAACGTGTCCGTTATCCCGTGGGCCGTGCCGAGCCCCGGCCTTGACTTTCCACAGCCTTTATCACCGTCGGAGGTGGGCCCCCCCGCCCCCCCCCCGTTGTCATCAGCCCAATGGACAGGAAAGGGTGGGCCCAGAGACCCAGTCCCAGCTGTGGGCGACACGGACACGTGCGAACATACGTGTAAATAACCAGAGCTTTTATAGTCACGGCCGCTCGGTCGACTCAGGGTCTGGGTTTCGTTTAACTTTGTGCTTAGAGTGGGGGCCGGGGTCCGAGGGAGGGGCCCCCTCTCCCCCCCCCCCCGCCTGCGCCCCTCGCTCCGCGCCTTGGCTCCCGGTGCCGAGCAGCCCCCGCTGTGGCCAAGATCTCGGTGCAATAAAATAACGAGTTTTTGAGAGTCCCGCCTGTGTCTTTGTTTCTTTTCCTCTGGTTTTTAAAAAGGCGCACGCCAGCCCCGAACTGTCCTCCCCGGTCGTCACAGTGACCGGTGGGGGGCTTCCGCACGTCCCCTGGCCCATCCGTGAGTGGGCGGGGGAGGGCACCGTCGGCGCCCCGGTGGGAACGGTTGAGCAGCTCTGAGTTCATCGAGGGGACGGAGGAGATTCGCTCTCCTCCTGCGAGAAGAGCACACTCGCTGAAGTCCAAGGAGACAGGGCCCCTGGGCGGGGGGGGCTCTCGCACACGCAGGGGGGGCCGGCAGCGGCGAGCGCCGGGCTGAGGGAACAAGCGGGGCCGTGCGACCGAGGCGCGCTGGGGCTCCCTCCCACTGAAACCTGCCCGGTTCCCGCAGGCAAAGACGGGAAAAAGAAAGAACAGGTTTCTCAAGGCTGCGCGTGTTGCTCACGGTCATCAAGAGCGACACGGGCCCCAGTGCGGCCCCTCCCGCCCGGCCTGCGGGATGGAGCAGGGGGTGGGGGGGGGGCAGGCAGGCTGGCCGGCGCCCACCGGTCCCCCCGCCCTGTGAGGACAGCCCAGCCACCGGGGGCTCAGGGCAGGTGGAGGTGCCTTGGTGTCTGTGTGGATCGGAACGTTCTGGCCACGCGGGAACCTACCTCGGAGTCGCGTGGAGCTTGCAGCTCTGGTCCGGCGCGGCCGTCTCTGCTGAGTGGGCGGGGGGGGGGGGGAGGGTCTGGCTGGGACCGTGGGTCCCGGAAGGTCGGGGGGCGGGGGGAGCAGCACCTGCGTGGGGGTGGCACATGACAGCCACACTGGCAGTTCCGCCTCCCCTTCCCTGCAGGGGCCCCCCACCCTCACATATGGACTCTGAGTCACCAGGGGGTGTGACCGGACAGCTCAGAATGAGGACAGCGAAGTGAGAACCTGCCGTGTGGGGGGTGAAGCAGCACAGGACCCGAACCGGAGTGGTTCCCCACGAGGCGGGGCAGGGTTGGCGGGGCCACCGTCTGAGTCAGGCGCCTGTCCAAATCAGGTGGGGCCAGGGTGGGCTGGGGACCCGAGACCTCCCCGCACTAGGGTGGGGTCCTGCCCCTGGCCTGCGTCATCCAGGCACGGCCATAGTAGCTCTTTGCGTCACTGGTTTTCCAAAGTGCTGGCACAGGGTGCAGACGCAGGGGGACCACGCCAAGTTTCTCCAGGTGGCCCCTGGCCTCCAGGCCAGGAACAGGTTTCGGGTGTGGCCGCAGGGGTGAGGGGACGCTTTGAAGAGCGCAGAGCTGCCGGTAGGGGCCGGCCAGGCCGGGCTCGCCCGGGCGACCCTGTCTGTCGCCAGAGGGACACAGAAGGCCCAGACGAGAGTGTTTTGGTCGATAACTTGGCTTGGACCACAGCGTGCAGCCTCTGGTGAGGTGCGGTCTGTTCCTGCCTTGTTTTCAGCAGGGCTGTTTGGGGCTGATGGGCTTTTCCGAGTGAGGCCGGCGGTGCCGTGCAGGAGGGCTGGGGAGGCGGCGGTGGAGTGGAGAAGCCAGGGGAGGGCGACCTGTCAAACCGGCTGGCGGACACGCGTCCCAGGCTGCAGCTGCCACAGGCACCGCTGGCCCTGGCTGCAGCCGTGGAGGCCAGCCCACCGAGTCGCCGGAGGTGCCGTCGAGGGGTGCAGGGAGCAGGTGGGACAGAAAGGTCAGGGCTGGGTGAGGCGGCTTCCGGCCCGGGCAGGGCTCGAGCGGTCGGGCCAAGTGGCACCCGAGAGGCCGGTGACGGGCCTCTGGTGTCAGGGAGGGTGCTGGGTGCGGGGCGGATTCTGGGGCAGTGACGCAGCCACGCCCGAGGTGTTTTCGTGTTGAGCCAGACAGGGAACCCCGGGCAGGACCACAGGGGCGAGCAGCAGGTGACCATGAGCTGCGAGTTTCTGATGAAGAAAAAGGCCAGCCCTGGCTGGCATGGCTCAGTGGACTGAGCGCCGGCCCGCAGACCAAAGGGTCGCTGGTTCGATTCCCAGTCAGGGCACACGTCCGGGTTGTGGGCCAGGTCTCCAGTGGGGGGGCGTGTATGGCGGTGATGTGGGACGACAAGGTCAACATACCTCTCCCATGTTGCTGTTTCCCTCTCCCCCTCCCTTCTCACTAAGAGTAAATAAATAAAACCTTTAAGACACAGAAAGCCCAGGCGTCTGGACACCCAGGGAGCCAGCTGGGCCTTCGTCCAGCTCTGGGCCCCACGTCGGGGCCCCTGTAGTGGAGAACATGACCTCCAGTGACAGGCTGGAGGTGCGGTGGAGTGAGGGAGGCCAGGGCGCAGTCCCTGCCGCGTCCCCGTGGCCTGCACAGCCCTGGAGTGGACGGGACACGGGTGGGACGGTGTGGACAGGCCGTGGCCCCTCCTCGGTGGCTGTGAGGGGAGACACGGTGCCGGCACTTGGTCGGTGCTCGGCATCGTGGGTTTCCCTTGCGCTTGGGGACCTTGTGGCCAGTCCCCGGCCCTGGCCCATCCCCCAGCCCACGCTGGGCTCCACCCCACCCCCGGACATTCCAATTCAAGCAGGCCCGGCGGGGCCCAGGAATGTGCATTTCTAACATGTTCCCAGTGGGTGGAGGTGCCGCTGGCGGGACATCACCCACCGAGTGGCCAGAGGGGGCGGGAGCTTGGAAGGAAGTCCAGGGTACGGGCTGTCCCTCTGGGCCCCGGGCGGGGACCTCCCCGCAGACTTGGAAGGGGTGGCCCCTGTCAGGCTGGCCCCCCCACCTGAGCCCTTGGCCCTCTTCCTTGGGGGGCCTTGCTCAGGGGTGCTCCTGCCTGTCTCCATCGTCCCCCTGCCTTCTCTCGTGAGTATGTCCGAGTGTCTGCCACGCTGAAAAAGCCCCCTTGTTTTCGCGTCCCCTCCCAGCCACCCTGTCCCTCAGCGCAGCCTCGGCGGGGTCCTCCCCACCCCAAGTTCTCAGCCGGCCTCCCACCCTCACCGCCCCACCCAGTGACCCACGTCCCAGATCCGACGGGCGTGGGCCCGCACATTCTTTTCAGGATGTGACCCTGTGCCCCGCCCCGTCCCGGAAGGACTCTGATCTCTCTCTGTCCCCTAAACGTTGAACCCGCGGCCTCCAAGGACGTGCGGGGGTGGGCAGGGCCCACCAGTGTGCCCTGCTGACCGGTCAGCGTGTCCTCCTGGCCCCCGTGTCCTGTTCCTCTCGGAGGTGCCTCCTGCGCCCCTGGGAGGCACCTGGGAGCGGAGCACAGAGACCCCGGCCCGGGCCCCGGGTGAGGAGCGTGGTTGCTCTGGACATAGCCTCTGCTCGGGCGGCGGCCTCCTCGAGGAGACGCCGTGGCCTGCTGTCCCGAGGCACAAGGAAGAGGGCAGGCCCAGCCGGCCATGGGGTCTGGACTCATGGGGGACAGAGGCCAGGCTGGGGGTGACGGCCTGTGTTCCCGTCGGGGGCCGCCACAATGTAGCTGTGGGCGCTCGGGTCGGCCACGCCACCTCTGAGACGGCGGCGGCGGCCTCTGCAGCACGGCGTGACCGCCCCATTCCCACGCGGCTGCCAGGCCTACCCGTGCTCACTGCTGGCTCTCCCCGGGGGTCCCCCTCTGCAGGACGGCCATCGGAAGAGGGGGCGGGACCCAGCCCTTCTGCCCGTCGAGTCTTGTGCAGGCAGCAGGGTCACAGAGGGGCGGGCGGTCCCTCCAGCAGGTCAGACGTGTTCGGGCGGCTCTTACGGCGGCCGGCCCGGAGGTCGGCACACAGAGCCGCAGAGCAGGGCAAGCACCTGCTAGGAACCGCGTGTAAGAGATGCGCGTGTCTCTGTAACCGCGGCTTCGTCACGGTTGCGTGTGGAATGAGTGTGGCCCCTGGTCCGTCCTGGGCTGGCCGTTCGGATCGTGGAAATGCACCTTCCTGGAGCTGTTGGCTCCTACGGTATTAGGAGTGATCTGTCATCATTTTTTTGTCCCTTTTTCCCCCCTTTTGCAGGCATGAGTCTGCTGGTTTCCGTCCCCAGCTGGACACTTCCCGCCGGCAGGGACCATGGGTCACGGTCCCCGCAGGGCCCAGTGCTCACGGGCACCCAGGAAACCTCTGCTGAACCAGCGAACTGGAGAAGCTGTGCAAGGCAGCGGCTCCGGACTCTGCTCAGAACACGCACCCCCACCCCCACCCCCACCCCCCACCCCCCCACCCCCGAGCATGCCCCGCATCAGTGACGCGGCCTCGGAAGTTCTCCTCGCACCAGCTGCCCCTGACGCCGCCTCCTCTGAGCCAGGCCCCGCGACCCCCCGCCCCCTTGTTTTCTTTCCGCTCCTCCGTTTGAAGTGGGCCCGAGCCGCGTGGCGCGGGGCCAGCTGTCTGTCGGGCGGCGCGGGAACAGTCGGCGACAGCTGGGTACAATCAAGTTCCATTACAAACAGATTTGAAGTGCCACTCACGCGCGGAAGAAATTGCACGCTTTAGCAAAATACAATCTGGGGGCTTTCAAAGCGAGACAATGCCCCAGCCCCGGCCTGTGTCAGCGATTCGGTTTGTGGTTGCTTCTTGCTCGCGAGAAGCGCCCTTTCTTTCCCTGGGTGCTGCCGGGGTGCAGCCTGCACGCAGGGTGCGGCCTGCGGGCCACTCGCCGCTCTGTCCCCGTCCGGTACCCACTGAGGGCGCCTGCAGCAAACGCCGGCCCGACGCTGGGGTCGGCCCGCTGCAGCTGGGCTGCCAGAGGGGGCGCTGCCCTGCCTGGTCACTCTTGTCACCTCCGTCTCAGGCGGCACAACGATGGGGCAGGTGGCAGCCACAGGCCTGGCGAAGACCTGCTTCTGGGAAGCCGGAGTCCTCTGGAGAGATGTGTCCGCCCTGCCGGCCTCGGCAGCACGTGGGCCTGAGCTTCTCCCCGTCCGTCCTCCCTGCTCCCTTCCCTCCCTCACCTGTTCCTCGTCCTCGGGGAGTGGGGGCGTGTCTGTCGGGGCCCCTGTGGCCGGGGGACCTGTCCTTCCCTTTCTCCCCAGGACTTCCAGCGGCGCCTCCTGCTTGGCACGCGCCCTCCATCCCCGATCCTGATGGGGGAGGAGAAGGGCAAGGAAAGGGAAACATTTGTTCTAGAAAAAGGAACCAGACACAGTGGCGTGGGCGGGACTGCAAGGGAAACAGTGAAGTCCTCCTACCCAGGATCCGGCACCTCAGTTCTCTCTACAGTGTTCATTTTAAAATTAATTTAAAATAGTAATATAGGCATACGGCTATAGAATTTAAGAGTCACCTATCTCCAGGAGCTGCTCTGACAAAATCCTACAGATTGGGTGGCTTAAAACAGGCACGGCCCTGGCTGTTGTGGCCTAGTGGGCTGAGCACCGTCCCGCAACGCCTAAGGTCGCTGGATCGATTCCCGGTCAGGGCACGTGGCTGGGTAATGATGGGCCTCGTCCCCAGCTGGGGTGCCTGCAAGAGGCAACCGATCAATGTTTCTCTCACACACGGATGTTTCTGTCTCTCTCTTTCTCCCTCTCCTTAAAATAAATGAGATCTTTACAAAATAAGTAACTCTCAGCAGGAATGGTTCTCCCCAAGTTCTGGAGGCCCTCGGTCTGAAACCCAGGTGTGGGTGGGGCCGCACTCCCTCCGGAGGTTCTGGGGGGCGGGGTCCTTCCCGCCTCTTCCAGCTTCCGGTGAGTCCCGTGGCCCTCGGCTTGTGGCTGCACCGCTCCGATCTCTGCCTGTGTCTTCACACGACCACCTCCTCTGCGTTCGTTTCCTAACCTCTTCTTTTTAAACTTTTTGTTTATGGATTTTGAGAGAGAGAGAGAGGAACATTGATACGATACTCCACTTGCTGATGCATCCGCCGGTTGCTTCATGTAGGTGCCCTGACCGGGGATCGAACCTGCAACCTTGGTGTATCGCACGATGCTCTAACCAGCTAAGCTACCCAGCCAGGGCCCTAAACGCCTCTGCTTATAAAGACACCAGTGACTGGCGCAGGGCCACCTTCATGACCTCATCTGAACTTGATCACGTCGGCCAAGACCCCGTTTCCAAATAAGATCACACTTCACAGCTCCTGAGGGTGTGGGCTACAACCTATCTTTGTGGGGGGGAGGGGGGGGACACAATTCAACCCCTAACCGCGTGGAGGGTTATGTGATGAAGTCTCTCCCACCCTGTTTCCCTGGCAACAGCTCGCCTTCCAGGTGAGGCAGTGTGGGGACGAGTCCCTCCTGAACCTGCTGGGGACAGTCCGTGGGTGCAAGGCACTGGAACGTGGGGCTTTCCCTGCTGCACCCTTTGGTGCTGTGTCCCCGGCACCTGCCACAGTGCCTGGCACCCCCCAACCAATACTTGTTGAATGGCTGGAGATACCACTATGAATGTGTCGACGTAAGAATGCCCAAACCTGGAGAGAAGTTTTGTAAGATTTCAAATGCTTCCCAGAATAAGTTTTGCAGCTTCTTTTATGCATTTGGAAGGAAGGAAGGAAGGAAGGAAGGAAGGAAGGAAGGAAGGAAGGAAGGAAGGAATTTTACTTCCATTCCAAGGAGGTGGGAGAAAGCAGTGGGGATGGGACTGCAGGACCGTTCCGATGAGGTGCGCTCTTAAAGGGGTATTAGTCCCTGAGCGGGGGGCGGGGGGTATTACCTCTGGCAAGTCAAAGGTGTGTTAGCCCAGAATGGGCGGGGCTTTGTGAAAACCTCTCCGTGAAGAAGTTACGGGCCCGGGCGTGACCACCCGCCACGACCTGCCCAGGTAGGAATTTTCGACCAGATCACCCTTTGAGGTTGTTTCCCATAGATGCCCTTTTCCTTTTCCATCCGCAAATGGATATATGACACGTACGGGAATTTTTATTACAAACGGAAATATATTACACACCACCATTCTGTCCTTGACTTTTTTTCACTGAATATGGCTGGGGAACCTTCTCATTTTGGTAAATATTGGGTTGGCCAAAAAGTTCATTTGTTTTTTTTTCCATATGATAACTATAGTAGCACTTAGTTGACTTTAACTTTATTTGAAACAATTTCGTTAGATTATATGTGACAGCTGTCATATCAGCGTGCATTTACAAACAAAGCTTATCAACATCGGTGAATTTGTGTGTACGCATTTTAATATTGAAGATGGAAGAAAACATGCAACATTTCCAGCGTATTATGCTTTATTATTTCAAGAAAGGTAAAGACACACTGCGACATGAAAAAGAAATACGAGACTTGTGCAGCGTGTGGAGACGCAGCTGCGGCCGACCGGCCGTGTCGGAAGCGGCGTGCGGGGTTCCGTGCTGGAGGTTTCTCGCTGGACGATACTCCGAGGTCGGGCACACCCGCTGAAGGTGACAGCGATCAGATCGAGACATGAGTTGAGAACAATCAACATCACACCACGCAGGAGGCAGCCGACACTCAAAATGTCTAAACCAATAAGTTATTGGTGAAAATGAAAAATGTGTCTTTTGTTTTATGGAGAGAACCACACAGGCTTTGGCCCCCCCCCTCCCCCCCGCACACCTTTCTCTAGCCTGTGAGTCTGTGAGTGCTCCGGGTGGGGCCGAGGCGGTCTCTGAAGAAGCTGGAGACGCCGCCGTGTAACCGGCACCGGAAGAGCGTGCGCATTCGGTTACCTCTGCTTCAAAGACTTCCTCCGTGACGCTGGTGTTTGAGATTATGTAAGGCAGGGACGGCGGAAGGGAGGCACCGACTTTACAAAAACAGGTGTCAGGTGGACCGACCGCACGGAACAGCAGACCACAGGGAGGCCCTCGGGGAGCCCTGGCCCGTCTCCAGGGTTTGCTGGGGGACAGCAGCGACACAGTGGAGGGGAGGGGCCTGGGGCAGAAGCGGCGGTTGCAGTTCAGTTCCAGACCCTCGCTAGCGCCTCCAGCTCCGTCCACCGCCGACACAAACATCCCCCTTGTTCTGTGCCATGGACCCTGGGCTCCGTTGTATTTCTTCTCCCTCCTCCTCCTCTGATGCTGCTCGGTGTCCGCAGCCCCTGGAGAGCCAGGCCTGTGGGCTGAAGACACCGTTGCAGATGAAATGACGCTACTCAGAGAATGTGCGAACCGTCAAGTGCCAGCTCCCCGAGGATCCCTCCCTGCCCCAGTCTACGGGGTGGGCAGTTCCGAGAGGACGTTGAAAGGGACGAGGGCGACAGTTAACACGTTACCTTTCTTTCCTGAGTTTTGGTCACGGAGCCAGAGTTCCAGTGGCCAGAGAGACACCTGCCCGCTGTTACAGGAAGGAAGCCGGCCGGGGAAGGGCCGGGAACTTTCTGAGGACGCCGAGACGGAGGGCGGTCAAGAGCACCCACGGCAAACTTTGGGGCGTCTCTGCTCCACTGCCATGAAGAGAGGCTCACCAGGCAAAACGGGGGGCTGTTCCGAGGGCACCCCGGCCCAGGCTGGCAGGAAAGAAATGCGGCGGGATCCCTGAGCACCCAGCACCAAACGCGAGGACGTGGGGCCACGACGTCGCGGCTCCCTGCTCCCACGTCGCCTGTAAAACTAGACAGTCTGGCGAAACGAGCGAAGATGAAACCCATGCATCCGCCAGAATCAACCTTTTTCAGGAGAAGGGTGACCTCTCTCTAGGGAAGGGTCTAATTTCTGGAATTACTTGGAAGCGGCATGGGGTCGGGGTGGGGGAGTGTGCCCAAGAAAAATAGACACCATCCCAGACTTTGCAGCGAGTTGGTTCCTGCGTTTGGGAGGGGGCTGTCTGGGAGTGGGCCGCCTTCTTAGCCTCTGGACGGGCGAGCCGGAGCTGCACCCCCCGCAGACGTCAAGACCGGGGTTCCTTGCCCTGACTGAGCGGCTCAGTTTGCTGGAACTCGGTGAGATGAGGAAAACGCAATACTGCAAAGCATGAAGGCAGAGGACTGGTGGCAACCGTTGTCATGCCGAGGTTCAGGCTGCAGAAATAAAGCAACCCAGAGGCTCCGGGTTTGACTCCCGGTCAGGGCACACGCCTAGGCTGCGGGTCCAGGCACATATGGGAGGCAGCCGATGGATGTTTCTCTCCCTCCCTCTCTTTCTCTCTCTCTCTCAAACCAATATACGCATCCTCGGGTGAGGATTTAAAACACAAGGTGAGGGTCCCTGAGGCTGAGATGTTGGGACCCAGCTCCTCTAACAGAAACAGTATCCGCTGTGTAGAAGTCCTGTGGAAGGCGACCGCCCACCTGTCCTTCTGGAGATCCATTCTGGGGGGGAAGCCGGGAGTTTGTTGTGGGCAGAGGCTGCGTCTTGTGGGTGGGAAACAGGCTCAGGGGGCTGAGGGGTGGCGGCCCAGGTCACGAGGCACAGCAGAGTGGGTCTGGAAGGAGAGCCCAGCGATGCCGTGCTCCTTTATTTTCTCCACGGGGGGGTGGGGGGGCAAGGACGTTCCTTTGTGGTCTTGAACAAGCCCCCCGAGGCTCCTTTTAGGGTTGGTCCGGGAAGAAACGGCTTTCTGAGCGCCTGCGTCTCACCTCCCCCCGATGGAGAGCCCTGCGACACCGGAGAGGCCCTGTGACATTGCCAGGGCTCGGGCCGGGCCCAACTCCAGCAGCGCAGCGCAGGCGAATGGAACACACAGCTAGACACAGTCCAGAAACGTGAGCACCGCAGAGGTGCGTGGGTCGGGGTCACTGCAACCCTGAAGCGCTGGGAGATAGGAAAATGCAGACAATAGCAGGAAGTTTGGAGGCAGTGGACTGGTGACAAGAGTCCTTGTGTTAAGGCTCAGGCCGCAGATAAAGGAATCCAAGTGCTCTTGGGGCCTCCGGCCGAGACCCGGCCCTCCCTGGGCGAGCTGGGACCGGCCTGGCTGGCGCGCTTGACGTCAGGGAGGACCACCCTGTCCTTCGGTGGCCGCACACGACCTCGGGCCCTTGTGTGCAGCCGGGCTGCGGGCTGCGGGCCTGGATTGGTGCGTCACGCCGAGATCCTGCGAGGCCCTGCGAGGCCCTGCGAGGCCATTGCGAAACGCGAAACCCGAAACCTGTTGGGGCCGCACGGTGGCAGGGCGGGGCTCCGGGTCCAGGGGCGGGGCCTAGGGGCGCGCGTGCGCAGGCGCGTGCCAGGGGGCTGTCGCGTGCCGGGGGTCCGGAGGGCGGGGATGAGGGGAGTGCGCGCGGGGGCTACGGGGCGGGGCCGTAGGCTCGGGGGCGGGGCCTGGGCGCGCGTGCGCAGGCTCGGGCCGGGAGGCGGCCGCGTGCCGGGGGTGCGGGCGCGGGCGGCGGCGGGCGGGGCGCCCAGCGGGTGGCGGGGGGCCGGGGGCGGGGCCCGAAGCTCGGAGCTCGGCTGAGGCGAGCGAGGCCAGGAGCGGCAGGACGCGAGGGGCAAGCGGAGATCCCGACGCGGAGCCCGGCACCGGCACCGGCGCTATGGAAGAGGACGACAGCTACGGTCAGTACTGCCCGCGGCCCGCCGGGCGGACGCCCCCTCCCTCACTCCCTTCCTTCCCCGGCCCGGCGGCGCCTCGGGCAGCTCGCGTTTCCCCGGGGAAGGTAGTGAGGGACGGGAGTCTGGGGGCTGGACCGGGCGAGGAGCTGCCGGGGGCCGGGAGGCCGAGGGGCGCCCGGGTCTCCGGGGAGGCGGCCGGAGGTCGCGGGGCCGGAGTCGCCGGGGTCGTAGTGTCTGGGTCACCGGCCGCTGTCACCCAGCGCAGGCCTGGCGGTGCCTCGGCGAGCGGTGAGGCTCCCCTGCGCCCCCGTGCGCGCTCTCCGTAGTTTCCGGCCCTTCTTGGTATTCGCAAGTTGTGTGCCCCGGTCCATGTCTTTGTCTGAAACGAAAAGGAGAAAACAGCGAACCACCCCGGAGTGGACAGACCCCCCCCGGGACGTTTCTGCGGCCGAGTTGGCAGGCAGGAGGGTGCTGTGGAGGGCCGGGACTCCGGCCGCTGGTCGCCCGCGAGGTTGGGGTTAATTATTGCTGACCTCGTTAGGCGGCCCCGCGGCTGCTGGTCCAGGGACGCCTGCGGGGCTGCCTGGCGGTGCGGGGACGGGGACCCAAGTTTGCGTTCTCGTCGGTGCGCACGGACAGCGAAAACTTGAGAACGGAGAGTTTTCAGCTTTCCTCCCGCTAACCGTACCCCAAAATCTGCTGGTCAGCAGGGAGGGGTTCCCTCCCTCCAATGGCTTGAAATGCTAGGCGTTTCAAAAGGTTATTTGGAATGCTCTAGTTAGTTTTTACATTTTATTCACGAGGCGTTTCAGAAAGAAAGGCACACAGAACAAGGGGTGAACTTTTGCGGTTTGGTAGCAGAGAACAGACACACACAGCAGGATTTGAAACGTTTCTGTGGCGGCAGCGTGGAAGCAGGTCCTGGCTCACTGGCTGCGACCGGTTAGCGCAGGTGTCCTGCTCCTGTGCCAGGCAGGCGCCGGGAAGCTGTTGACGGGTGAAGAGGAGGGTTTATCACCTGCAACTTGACGCTGAGCCACAGACAGGGGGCTGCGACGCGGCTCGCCAGACCGAGGCACGGCCTGAGGTCCAGCGTGCGTTCGGGCTGGGCGCCCATCAGATGTCCCCTAGTTACCTTCCAAGTGGAAGCCGTGTGTGCTTGCTGTCCTTTGTGATCGAAAAAAAAAAAAAACCCAAACAACCCAAAACCCTCGGGCTGGTTTGGAAGGATTCCTTCCCCTCCCCGCTCATCCTGCCTGTGAAAAGCCTTGTGCAGCTTTTCCTCCGTTCTCGTCCGCTGTTCTCTCGACCTTCTCCTGCCCTGTAACCCCGCTCAGACCCAGGGCCCCGCCGCCAGGCTTCCCTCTTGCCCCCTCCCAGTGTTCTTCCGCGCCTGCCCGGGCAGGAAGCGGTTGGTTTGGTCGCTTTCAGTGCAGCAAGGGCTCTGCCACCACCAGGCACCACATGAGTGTGCTGAGGAGGGGGTCGCTGGGAGCAGGGTGTGTGCGTTTCCTGTGGCGGCTGTCACCAACCAGCACGAACGCGGGGGCTCGAGGCAGCATGCGTTCATTGTTTTGCAGCGTGGAGGTCAAGCCCACATTCGTCTCCCTGGGCCACGGTCAAGGGGTTGGTGGGGCGGGGAGCCCCTCCGGAGCTTCCAGGGGACATCCGTTTCCGTGCCTTGTGCAGCGCCGAGAGGCCGCAGGCGCCCCTTGGCTGGTGGCCTCCTTCCGCCCTCAGAGCCAGCGAGGAGGAGCGTTGTGTCATTTCTCCCTGACCTCTCCCTTCTCACTGGGGTTGCGCCAGGCCCGCCCGGGCGATCTGGCCTCAGGGTCCGCCGCCCCCATGCTGCCGCGGTGGGAGCCCTTGGGACACATGGGGTGACAGACTGGCGGATCCTGGTGTAGGGCGCGGTCACCTTTGGGGGCTGTTACTCTGCTGAGCACCGGTAAAGACAGGGGCAAAGTTTCTTTTTCTCTTTCTAAAATCATCTTCTTGGCATTTCGAAGGGACCGGAAAGGTTGAAAGAGGACTCCCCACCCACAGGGCTCATCACACAAAAAGTACCTCAAAGTTTTAAGATGATCGTACGGAGAATGAGGCTCTGAGTTCTTTAAAGTAGGCCTCAGTTTCCAGAACTGTCTGTTTCCCTCGGAGGTTTTACAGGGAAGTCGCTTTGAGCGACACGGCAGCTACTCAGATCCCCCGTGTCACAAGGAAGCGTCTGCTACAGACTCAGAAAGCCCCTGGCACGCCCTGCCCCCGGCTCCTGCAGGGCCCCGTGGTCCGGGGGTCAGCCGAGGACACAGCCTCCGGTGTGCCATGTGGTCCAGGGACCGGGGCTCTGATCTCCTGGCTGCCACTCGGTGTCAAACTCACACAGAACGTGACCCATTTTTTTTAATATTCTAACGGGAGCGCATCTCAGAGGGTCCCGTCCAAGGAAAACCTCCGCAGCAGGTGGAGGGCTGGGCTCGTCTCCCTGGTGCCAGGTCTCCCCGGCGCCGCTGGGGACCCGGCCACCCCGGGCTTGGAGCCCTTCCTGCTGAGGACGCCCCGGAACAGCCGGTCCTTCCTTCAGGGGCACCCCGGGCAGGTGACGGGGTCCCACCACACACCTAGGGGGACTCGCTCTAGCCTGAAGATGTGCAGGGGTGGGGGTCAGTCATTTTAAAACGTGATTTTCTTTGAAAACGTGGGATTAGTGATTTTCTAAAAGCTCCGTTGGCATTTTAAGGGAGACGTTCACGTTGCCCGTGGCTGATTGGTCTTTATCCCCCCACCCTCTGAACACCGGGAAAGAGCTGGGGGTTTCAGGGTCACGGTGCCTCCTCGTCGGGTTGCTGTGCTTCCTGGACCTCACGCACGGAAGGAAGAGGCCTCCATCGGGTGCCCTGCCCGTGGCGAGGCCCCGTGACTCAGTTCCTCTTGCTGACTCTGAACTTGAGCAGAGATTTTTAACCTGCAGTGTGCCGGTGGCCTGGCGCCCTCCGCTTTCGCCGGTTCTCACAGGTCTCAGACCCCAGGGGTTGCCGCGCCCGAGGTCGCCTGTCCCTGAGCACTGGCACGAGGTGGCGATGGGCAGGGCCGTGCCAGAGTGACATCGTAGGTGGTCGTGGTGGCGGCCGGGTGTCACGGCGATGACAGCACGGCCCCGACTCTGAGCACAGTTCTTCAGTGGCAGTCGCAGAGCTGTTGGCGGCTTCTGCCTCCTGAACACGCCAGCCTCCTCTGGCTTTTTATTAGCTTTTTACTAGACTCTTCTCTGCATCATGAGGGAGGATTGCCCTTTAAGAGACTCATTTCCAGCCCTGGGCGGGTGGTTCAGTGGGTTGGAGCGTCATCCCGGCCCATACACCAAAAGGTTTCGGGTTCGATCCCCAGTCAGGGCATGTACCTGGATTGCAGGTTCAATCCCCGGTCGGGGCTTACACAGGAGGCAAACGATCGTGTTTCTCTCTCTCTCTCTCTCTCTGTCTCCATCCCTCCCTCGCTCTCTCTCTTTCCCCCCTTCCTGTCTCTGAGCACATTCTCTCGGGTGAGGATTAAAAAAGAGAGCTCTCGCTCCCGCGTGAGGGAGTGGAGATGAGACCCTGGCAGGGCACACGTCTCCCGTGGGGCCGGGCTGCCGGGAGAGGGCCCTGGCGCCCGGGGAGGCTGCGGGCTCCTGTCTGTCCCTCCCGGGCAGGACCCGTGGCAGCCGCCCGGCGCTGCCGGGGGGGCCAGACCCGGAGCCGGGCTCCCGTGGCAGAAGTTCACGCCCAGTCCATCCCGTGGGCTTGCCTGTTCCCCTTCGCCCCTCCCTCCGTCCCAAATCCAGCAAGAACACTTTGTGCACGTGTCTGACCTGAGGCCAACCTCGTTTTCCTTGTTTTCCTCTGGTGTCGATGACTTTCATTGTTCTCTGATTTAAGGGTACACGCAGTGATCTGTCTTTATCGAAAAGAACACAATTCGGCCCTGGCTGGCGTAGCTCAGTGGATTGAGCGTGGGCTGCGAACCAAAGCATCGCAGGTTCGGTTCCCAGTCAGGGCACATGCCTGGGTTGCAGGCCACGGCCCCCAGCAACTGCACATTGATGTCTCTCTTTCTCCCTCTCTAAAAAAATAAATAAATAAAATCTTAAAAAAATACGGAAGCAAGCACCAAAAAGAAATGGAAAAAAAGAAAAGAACACAGTTCTGTGAAGTCAGAGCTTTCCCAGGCAGTCTGGAACGTGAGATCTCCGTGATTACACAGTCCGCGGCCCGCGAGGTGGGTTTCCAGGGGCGACACTGACCCGTGAGAGGGCACCGGCATTCGAAGAATCCTCGGCGCCGGGTGCCCGAGTGCTTTCCAGGGGGCCGTGCCTGTCACCCTGTGCTCAGCGATGCGCGGGGGCGCAGTGCCGCTGTCACCGCGGACGCGTCACCGGCGAGGACTGGCCTGCGAGAGCTTCAACAGCAACAACAACAGCAACAGCGAGAACAGTCGAACGTCACGACACGGCACCGCGTCGCACCTGCCGGGTCGTCGCCCGGCCGGAGGAGTTCCTCTGCGCGTCTGTGCGCCGTGGCCCGGC